CAACACGAAAACATAACTCTAAATGACATAAATAACACTAATTTGTTTTCGATATTTTTTTACAACCACCAAATCCCCCTGCATTCGACATGTCTGCAAATGGCGTGTTGCGGGCTCGTTTTGATGAAATTAAAGAAGAAACTGATTCGATTCAATGTACGGTTAGCGAGCAAAGTCTTCATCCATTTTCCTTGATAATGTAATTTTTAAGGTGCTAAGGGGAAAAAAAAGTCGAAGGTTTTAAAATCAAATTGACGTGTCGGACAGAGGAGGGGATTGGGTATGGGAAAACAAACTAGATATAGGTCATGGCCGGAGATTTTTTTTAAATACTGTAGTTTTTTTTTTTAACAAAAAGAGATAACATAAGACTAGTAACATTCGTTAAAATAAGAAGTGCACACATCTGGTTACATACTCTTTTCGGCCCTTAAACACACAGCTCTGTCGGAATCTCTCTACAAGCACGTACTTCTCTCAGAGCAGGTAAACTCTCAACTTGGTAACATATATAAGAGAGAGTGAGAGGGTAATATATATATATATATATATATATATATATATATATATATATATATATATATATATATATATATATATATATATATATATATACAGCTACAAAAGGGACGAAAAAAATCCTTTCAAATGGTCACTTCAAGGGTTTAATGTGTTCTAAAGCATTGGAGCTTCATCGAGAGGCAGTGCCCCCCCCCCCCCCCCCCCCCCCAGGAGAGATGATGAATGAAACACTGAAGTGTACCCACGATGTATACGTAAATATCTGAATAATTGTACGATGGTATAAACATTTTTTTTTAAATATTAAAATTCCATATTAGCAGGCTAACTAGACCCATTAAAAGTTACGATTGACATCCTGAAAACTCCTGTGTACAGTTATTTTTATTTCTTCCTCCTTAGCGAGCAAAGCACGCATGTGTGTTATACTGAGCTGTGCTGTTTATTTTTTTCACCCAATAACTATTCGCCCGGAAAATAAATGCGCAATTAAAAAATTAAAAGTTTTCTCCCTTTATTCAAACCTCACTATTATCAAAACTATCGATCTATCAGTATTAGATGGTATACTTTAGCCAGTGAGGCACTTTTCAAGCGCAATAATTTCATAACCGCGTCTATAAATACAAAGGGAAAGTAAACACTTCTTTGAAATAATCAATCGGTGAGCACTGTTTAAATATCGACAGAACTTGTTTTAAAATAGAATAATTGAGCACCAATTAGAGGGAATTAATTGGGTGGGGTTTAGTCTTAGTTTTTCAAATATCGATATACTTTAATTGCTGGTAATTCATAAAATAATGCGCGGAGTTAGGGTAATTTAAAAAGTGATATGCTAATAATTATTTGTCCTGTTCGTGCCAGAGCCAAAGACACACGAGACAGATAAAGCATAAATAGGAATAAGGTGGTCAGCACTATGCCCGTCGTCTTATTTTCCCAAACGTAAGACAGGTACCCAATCGTAAGCTCTACCAGCTGACCAGGCCGTCCCTTCAGTGATGTTCATTTAAGTAACTATATTAAGTGAAGCGAACTTGATCTTAGCCAAACTTGAGGAAATTTTCAGAGGCAGTACTGTAGGCTACAACAAAGCGTTGGACTCACGTCCATAAACAGGTACAAAGACATGATTAACGGGCTTTAAGCCGAGATCTAATTAAGGTCGTGTGACAGTAGGTTCACCTAGCTTGTACACTAGTGTAGTAGCGTGCATGAAATCAATGGCGAGCTGTGTTTAATTTAGGACATTATTGAGTAATCTCATCACGCTAAATGTGCAAGGGGTAACAGCTGCGAGAGCGGTCTAGTTAACGAGTTCACGATATAAAATCTTAAACGCGTGTAGTGTTTCTATCATAACAGGCCCATGCTACGGGGATACGCTTTTTAAAATCTCGCATTCAAGTACAGGACAGTTTTTTCTTTTACACAAATACAGTGTCAAGACATCGATCATACATGTCTTCCAATAGCCAGTTCTCTTCTCTCTCCCTCCCCTACCCGCAGACTTTTTTTTTTTGCTTTGGGGGAGCACACAAGCATTGCCTTGAAAAAAAAAAAAAGAAACGCAACAATGCGAGCTCGATATTCATGCAAAGCATACTCGTGGCATATGAAATCTAAAGCCACTCACGTTAGGGCGAAGGAGAAGAAATAAAGCCCCGGCCAAGCCGAAATTAAGTGCTTATAAAAAATGCAATCGCATTTTGAAATTTTGCGATGCAGTACGTGAAACATACATTAAACATAAGTGCGTGCATATTACTGCCAAAGCGTACACCAGCTGTTGCAAATATAAGTAAACGCACCCACATCGACCAAGCCATTAACCTCCCTATCAATAACACAATACAGTAAAAACCGTGCACTATACACACACATAAGTTATATATATATATATATATATATATATATATATATATATATATATATATATATATATATAGGCCTATATATATATATAGGCCTATATATATATATATGTGTGTGTGTGTGTGTGTGGTATGCAGTGGCGTAGCGAGGTCGGGTGTCACCCGGTGCGGCACTTAATGGTGTCACCCCCCAGAGGCGTAGTGACCCTTCCCGGGGACAAACTTTCAAATTTTTTATTTGCACCCCCCCCCTCAAACTTTCGATTTGCACCCCCCCCCTCAAGTTTTTCTCTATATATTTTGCTATTTTTTGCCTTGGTGTCACCCCCCTAAATGGTGTCACCCGGTGCGGTCCGCACCCCCCGCCCCCCCCTCGCTACGCCCCTGGTGGTATGTATAAAATATATAGTTACACGCTGTAATACACGACTGTTTCGTAAATTCGTAAAATTGAATTCAGTAAAATGGTTGCAAAAGAAAGATCTCATAGTGAATGACTAACAAAATCCCAAAGCACTTAATATTGTTTACACAACCTGAAGATAGACTTGATAAATTGTTTAGATTTTCTCAACTCAAAACACCAGTGCCGAATGCATAAACATGGCAATTGACTAGGCTAGGAGCCACGTGGTTTTAAGGAGCAACGCAAACAGTTCACTGAATACACTTTCAGCAATAAAACCTGTACATAAAAACGATAGCCGGTTTCAGAAACGTAGCATTAGATTTAGATCTAGATCTAGAAAAGAAAAAGTCCCAGCGAATCCTGTGAGAGGAGGGTGGGGGTGGGCGCAGGGTAGTTTATTTTCTATTAATTTTTTTCACATGCCTTAAGAGGCATGTCTCTACATAGACAGGCAGAGGCGTAGCGATCCTACCCGGCTTCCGGGGACAAACTTACTTTTAATTTGGCGCCACCCTCAGGAAAAACCTTTCAATTTTCAATTTGCGCCCCCCCTCAAACTTTAAATTTGCACCCCCCCCCCCCCCATATATTTTTTATATTTATAATGCAAAACTGCAGCTTAAATGAGATTTTAATTTGTTTTACAACATATTTTGACGCCCCCTAAAGTCGGCGCCCGGGGACATGTGTACCCCCCACCTGCCTACACCTCTGTAGACAGGAGTATTTAAATTTGTGTGACTTCGCTTTGAAAAGAAGCTTCCGATTATATATGAAGAAAACTCTTTAATTAGCTACCAGTGAACAATGCAAACACCCTTGGTTCTGTGGTACGATGGAACAGCGGCTAGAGAGATCGGTAAATGTGACGTTCAATCGCTTCAACCAACATGGTAAACATGGGATTGATCGGCATAGGGTGCAGTCGATGTGTGCTCACCAGCACACGGGGAACAGCTTCTGACGTGCACGTAGAGTGAAGTGAACCCAAAAATACCCGTCATAAAATCTTTAACAGTCAGTCCGGGGGCAAACAAACATGTCTAGCTGGGGCAGAGCTGGTGAATTAAAACTTCAAAACATCATAAGACGGCTTGAACAGGTAATACAACCAGGTCAAGGAAAGGTGGAGTGGGGGGAAAATAATCAACTCCTGAAAGATGCAGGGATGGCATAATTATAATTATTTTAGCTGTTAATGATAAATTGTTTGCGTGAGGTGGGGAGGGAGGAAGGTGCTGGAATGGATATTCTTTAAACTGCATTTGGCAAAGGTGGAATTAGTAAGATTGTCTTGGTACTAAACATAACTATGAATGCTACTATTACCTTTACCTAATATTTATTAATTCACTACTAACTACCAAGACAGCCCTTTAGCCTTTTATTGATTGCCTGTGAGTTGAAGACTAGAAACAGTAATTACGCTAACAAGGAATACAATTAAATTAAGGAAACCCTCGCGGGAGGGGCAGCATTATAGGAGGGTGAGTGTGCAGCACCTGTCAGGTAAACATTACAGGAAGTGGTCCAATTAGCGGGCAATAATTATTCTTGCAATGAAGGTGAAATGAAAACAACCAACTCATGAGCAAGACAAGGAACTAGGAGTAGGATGATATAGATTTTGTATTTTAGTTATTACTTTTGTTTACTCACAGCCAAATAAAATTGCCTACAAGAAAATTAAAGTATGATTGCTATCCTAGTTTAACTAGGTTGCAAAAGGCTAAAAAATTAGAAGGGCTTAGTAATACAGATTTAATTACATGATGAAAAAACCACACAAAACAGATATTAAATACTTTACAGTGCAGCTTTTTTTTATGATAACTTCAAAGATCAACAGAAAAGAACAAAAGCCACACAAATAATAAGTATGATTGGGTTAGGACGATGGCTTGGTTTAGGTTATGTGAAATCAATTCAGAATATCTCATTACAGTAGTTTTTCTTTTGTCTCTAAAAGTTCAGTAGATTTAAAGAACTAGTTATTTAATATTATGATATTCCAAAGAATCCTTTTCTGGTAAAACACTAGTAGTAGCTTTAACTAGCCTGTATTTTGTACAAGATTTTATTAGAGCAAAAAGAGCTACATGTAGTTAGAATATAGGCCTAATAATATTTTATTATTTACTTACAAAAAAAAAACCCACTATACAAAAATATTGGCAATGTAGGCTACTCACCGAAATTGTTGTTGTCTTTACCACCAAGTTCCTGAGTTGTGGTTGATGCTTCGCTTGGACTAGCCGTGCTCCTGCTATTGCTACGCTTGGATGAGGATGATGTAGAAGATATCCCATACGCTCCTATACTCTGGTCATCCTCCTGACTCGAGGAGGCCAAGGTCACGTTCATGGACAACATAGATGACACACAACCACTGGGCTGGGCTGCTGCACGGACTGATGATGACGAAGACCCACTTGCGGAACAATCAGCTCCCATGTATGTACTTCCCTGCGGACTCTGGTTAGCCATCATTGTAATGTTCGATCCGCTGGTCAAGATGTTAGCTGTCATCTGACTTCGATGTGAGGTGGATGATATTGATGGCAGGGACAGCAAGTAGCCAGGTCCTTGCCCACTAGGTGTGCTACTCGCTGAGCTATTTGAATCCATTTGGTTTGACATTTTGAGACACCTTACAAAGTTAAGGAGATTTTATTTATCTGGAACCCAGGATAAAGAAAACAACATTAAGTTAAGGATATCACTATTATACTGAACAAGGATATTAATTATTATACTGAATCCTAGATCTATTGGTGTCACTAACACAGCTAGTTCAGATCTAATAGATAGTAGTAAATCTGGGCCATTCTTAGAGTGACTTAGAGTAGAGGCCTTACACTTTAAATTGAAAGTTGTCTTCAACTGATCTACACAATCATCAAGATCTAGATAATCTAGATCTAGAATTCTAGATGTTATTTAGTATGTAGTTCTAGATAGTCTTCAATTGAGGTCTAGAATATAGAACTAAAATATTAATATATATTATAAACATATTGCTAAAGGTAATCTATCGTTTTGGGTGCGAAAAATCGCCCGCGACTATTAATGTATGAAAACGTTACCTCATTGTCAAGGCTTTAATAGAGGTGTATTTTGATATGTTTGTGTCAAATATTATAGGCTAAATAAATGAATAATAAACCTAAATCAATGGCTAAATATATCAATATAGGCAAGAAATTAACTTTAAACAGCAGTGTCTGCGAGCAAGATTTGCTATATAAACAGCAGCCATTTGTAAAATACAGTGGCTTCCCCCTGAATCTCGCGCTGTAAGTTTATAAAAATAAAACTTAAACAAGAAGGCTGCTATAGTCAATGAGCGTGGTTGCATCTGTTGGAAACAACGCTAGTCTTCATTTATTACTGAAAAGTTTTAATTCAATTGTTTAAAAACAGGTACATAAATGAAACAAGGAAACATTTTTGTATTTTAAAAAGCATAAATTCATAAATCCTCCTCAAAATGTGAAATAATTATTAAAATTTAAGGAGTCACCTTGTTATAACTGCTGAGTGAGGGCTTTGGTTATTTGATCCAATACCATTTTTCCTTAACCACTACCACGTGGAGATGTGTTCACAGACATACATTGTACCATCATTCACTAAGACGACGTGGACGACCAACAATCAATAAGAGGAACGCAGGCTTCTTCTCTTATCTTTAATTCTGTACTCTCAACTCATATACATCCTTCCACCAAGGCGAAGAAAATCATACTAACTCACGCACAATACCTAGCAACCAGTCTCTACACCAGAACGTCACTGTCGCACCATACGCGTCATCATTCCTTGCGTTCAACATACCTTTCGCACCAACATTCATTCGCGCTGATCTATAGCATAGATCCTAACATGCATCATAACACACCTGTTTTTCACATTACAACGTACCTAAAATGATAGATTACCTTGCTAAATTAAAATTAGGCCTGGGCTATAGAATAGAGAATCTAGGGCCGAATTAATAATTATTAGTTATTAGGCCTACTAGTTATTAGTTATTAGAGTAATTAGACCTAAGCACTAAGTTAAGTGAGCGGTCCTCAGTGCCTGGAGAGACGATCACTCAGCTGCATTCATTTAATTTAATTTCATAGGCCTATCAGTTATCAGATCTAGATTTGTGAATTTTTTTTTAAATAAATTTAAATCATAGATTCTAGATCTAGATATCTAGAGTCTATATCTCTAGTCTAGATTCTAGATCTAAGTTTTTTATTTCTTTTTTTGTTTTTTAATTATTTTCCAAAAAATAAAAAATTGATTCTAAGTTGAAAAAAAGGAAAGAAAAGACAATCAGCTGATCGTAATCAGCGCAAATATTTTACGTAATGCATACCTATTTACACATCCATTGATTACGCTGAGAATTCACTTAAAAATTACTAAACCGTGCAACGAAGCATTAAGTTTTCATTGAGATCCTAATACTGCACAACCACTTTATGTTCTGCTGCTGTGCATGGTACGATCGAAGAAAACTAGGTCAAGCAAGATGGAGGCAAAAATCAACCTTTACCACATTCTGAATAGTACGGCAGAAGCATTGTTTTGTGTGATGTGCTTTTATTAATAACAAATTAGAAAATATAGATTCTAGATCTATATTGCATAGATCTAGAATTAGATCTACACAAAGTCTTAACAAAAACAGTAGTAATCGCTGTAATGGAACGATTATTTTCAATAAAACGAAAATGAACAGATTTTTTTTTTTATATTCATCAAAGCCTGTCGTTAAAGTTAAATGCATATCTTGGACAATAATATACGCTTAAGTGCTGTTAGTTAATAACTAAGGCTAAGTTATAGTTATTATATAGCCGATTTTTAAATATAAATAAAAAAATGTATAATGTTAAATAGGTAGGCCCTAAATACGAAATAGAATTTACATACAAACCACATCCATCAATCAGCCCGCCCCCAGGAAATATAATTTATATAATTTATATAGATCTACATATTATATACTTGAATCAATGTCCACCCTTTCCAGGGAACTTAAGTCTGACCCCCGACCCCCCCCCCCCGGAGAAAAATTTAATAAACACAAGTGTTAATGTTTATAATACTGTTTGTGATTTATGGGTAGTCTATATAGGCCTATTAGTAAAAAAAACATTCGAATCTTAATAATTATCTAATAATGGACCATACACTCTATTTGATTATATATCTAGATGCTTTTGCAAACACTTTAGGTGAATCATTTGAAATGCAAAATTATTTTTAAATGTCATTTAAGTAAAAAATACTGAAAATGTGGTATCTACAGGATTTAGTGTTACCATAAGGGGAAATAACTTTCGGTTACAACTTTGGATTACTAGCAGCCAGCGATTGTTTTCACAAAGCCTAGGCCTTATCCGCACCAAACTACATCACACAACTAAAACATTTAGCCTACATTCTTATTAATGATCACTATTGTTAAACAATAAAACTAATTCAGTAATCATGCTATTATTTTAATCTGTTTAAATTTTAAAATAGCTTTGTGTAGTCGAACTGTCTGCTGTACTCTTCTTAACTCTGACTGAACTACTCGGCTGTACTCTGCCTGTCACTGTACAGTACAGTGTACTCAAAGTGTACTGTACTGTAGTCTACTAGATTCTAGATCTAGATCTAATAGATCTAGAATCTATAGGTCTAGTATTTATTATTATTAGATTACTAACTTAAGTCTGTAGTGAGTAGTGAGACTATTGAGTGGATTGATCCAGATCAGTGAAGCAGTGATGCCGATGGAATACGGAGTTACTTTACTTTATTCCACTTTATTGATGACTTTAATATTCATTAATAATTAATATTTATTAGATCTAAGAGACTGGATCTAAGATTTAGCTACTTATGCCTATGTAGTATTTAGTTAACATAGCCTGAGTAAAAGCAGACTAGTCAGTAGTATATAAGACCTGTAAAGTGTTTAGTTAATAATAGGAGCCCGAGTAATAGCTGAATACTATTAGACGATTAGTACTATACTTGGTAATTGCCCAGTAATTGAGGCCACGCCGGGGGGACGATCTGTCCGGGATTCAAAGGGTCGATTCTAAATATCATCCTATAGGCCCCTAGGGCTAGGCCTAAAACTAATAGTATAATAATATAGGCCTATACTAGACCTCTAACTCTATACATTACTATATAATAATACTATAGCTATAGGGTCTAGGGCCTATATAAAAAGATTTTAAAGCCAAATTAAATAGGCTAAACTACCTAGATCTAGTACTAACTACACACTAAGTAAAATTAAACTGTTGTGAAGTGTAGGAGTGTAGGTCGTAAATAGTAGTATTAGGCTAAATTCATTACTATTAACTATTAGTATTACTTTATTAGGCTATAATTTAAAATTATTGTAAGTAGGCCTAATTTTCTCACGTTTTCTTTAACTTGCTTTCTCTGTGTCTGTGTTTGTTTGTCTTTCCAATCAAATCTTGCGATCGAAATTTCTGGCACTTCCCAGTTAGCTAGCGCGCTGAAATTTTCAGGGAAGCTTTCTTTTGGATGACCATTGAATATTCAATTGTTATTATTACTAAATTGATCAATGGAAACATTTTATTGAGCATTTTAGACCGCTATATAATCTATATATATAATTCTCCTCTGCGAGCCATTAGAAAAAAAACGAGCGACGCGTACCTCGCGCGCAGTGAAGCGAACGATCCCACATCGCCACAGGCTTAGGGGCAGATAATTTAGTTTGAACCGAGTTTAAACTTACAGGAGGTAGGCCAGTTTGGGGGAGACGATATGGTCGAGTGGTTGGGCACACGATTGCTATCCCACTCGACACGGGTTCAAATCTATGTGTTAACACAACGTGTTTTTTACGAGTTGTCTTTTTACGAGTTGTCTTTTTACGAGTTGTCTTCGTTTACCCAAAAAAAGTGAAAAGATAAAATCGATAGCAAGATTTTAATGCAAACAAACAAAGACTAAAAACTAGAAAATAATAATCATTAAAAAAGTTTTAAAAAACCCACGTTTTCTGATTGAACTAAAAAGTAGAAAATAAACGCTATACATCACAATAATGCAAGCGATCACTCTACTATAAGCGATCAAAAATGTGGGGCGCCGTGATTTTCTTACAGTTTCTAATACTGTTGACTCTCTACAAGCTCCCTAATAAAAGTCAATAGTATTATCTAATCAATAGTAATATAACTTTTACTTCGGCGCCCCACGTTTTTCATCGCTTATAGTAGAGTGATCGCTTGCATTATTGTGATGTATAGCGTTTATTTTCTACTTTTTAGTTCAATCAGAAAACGTGGGTTTTTTAAAACTTTTTTAATGATTATTATTTAGTCATCATGATATTTTTATAATATTATTATTTACAGTACTCCCCAGCTAGTATTGTGCAGTACACTACAAAATTAATTAGTAGCTTGATAAGACTTACTTAACTTACTAATATGTTCTAATAGTGACATACATTGTTTTAAATTTAACCACTTAAAATCTCTATACTAATTACTAATACAAAATCTAAATATATCTGTTTTCAGGTTGTATGAAAATAGGTTAACTGCTGCATAAGAACTTAGCCCAATACATTTGACTTTTTCTTTAATTATATAATGGAAAATCAAGTGTCTGCCAATGATTTAAGAGGTCCAGATATTCCATCCATGGTTTGTGATTTTAAGCAAGAAATGGATTTAAATGAAAAATTTGAGGAACCAAATAAAATGTATGTGTGTCATTTGTGTGATTTTCGCACAGCTTTTCGTAATAGTCTCCTAAACCACCAAGCTGTACATTCAGATTATAGGCCATGGGTTTGTGCAATGTGTGATTATGCTGCTAAACGTAAGCAAGATTTAAAGAAACATTTACACACCATTCATGGGGTAATGGTAGAATCAACAATGTTGAGGCCTGTCGGCACTGCCCCAAACTCTACCACCAGTGTTGCTCCAAGATCCTTATCAAGAGAGGAAAGCAGTGAAGATAATTCATGGGATAATGAAAAGATTAACAAAACACCAGGCAATGACTCTTTCAGTGGAAGTGCTTCTCAAACACATCCTGAAAATTTGAAAAATCCCACTGCTTCTGGAAAATATGAAACAACTGTGCCAGTGAAAAAGGAGGTAATTGAAAACAAATCAAGTAACTCACCATACCATTCAGCTCTTCCAAGCATGTCCAACTTTGTGAATCACACCTCACGAGAATCACCAGACATGGATTTGCCAGTTTCATTTTCGTCTGCTTCGGATATAAAATTTCCATCTAGTCAAACACCTTATACCCAAGCAGATATCCATGAACATATTTTATTCCCATCAGAAAAGGAATATCTTTTTTCTCCTGACCGCCTTCGTTTGCACAAACCAACGGCAATACGTGATTTTGCAGAAAAATATCTGTCCTCCTCAGAATCAACCAGTTCTGGAACACCCATTCCTAACCAGAAGCAGCTTAGAAAGAGACCTTATTCAACATTATTGGAACCACAGGATTCGACACCATCCAATAAAAACCATGACACAGATGATGCACACCCATGTAGCAGTTCAACAGCGAATTCAAGCTTTGCTAAGGGTAATCAGACCCAACAAACATTTCTGTGTGAACACTGTGATATTATGTTTTTTCAAAGAGCCATGTATCTTATGCATGTGGGTCTTCATTCCCCTGATAACCCATGGTGTTGTGCTGTTTGTGGTGGTATGTTCACAGAAAAGTACAGTTTTACATCACATTTTATTAACCAGCATTAGTTGCTATTGTTTTATTTTGAAGCTTGTATTTTAATAACTATTTTACCAAGTTTTTTTTTTTTAATATTGAACAGCTATTTCAAAAACTGCTACTGTTTATACAATAGTTGATTTTTTGAAATAATTAAATGGATTTCCTATAATTCATTGATGGACAAATAAAGGTTCATCCATAAATCACTTCAACTACTAGGGGGATCCAGACAGTATAAGGGGAAGGGTCTAGAAACTGTAGCGCCACACTTTTTTTATTTTAAAATGAAATATCTAAAACTGAAAGTGGACAGCTATTTTACATTTTAAAAAGTCATTTTTTTAGTTAATTGTAATAACAATTATTCAGTACGAGCCAACCCGCGGCGTATCAAACGCCGATATTTAGTTGTTTTATTTTCTACTTTTCAGTAATTCATAATTTGTGAATTCGACAGTACCAACGCTGCCACTGAAAATATTTGCTTTAAAACACTATCAGTAGCTTGTTAAGGACGATACCCCCCCCCTTTCCCCAACCCCTACCCCACCCCCGTGAAAGTAAACTCCTCTTAGTTACCTCCCCTAAGTTTAAAATCGTTTCAAATTAAATTATCTGCCCCTAATAGTCGTCACTAATTCCGGCTTTACGATTGTAAACATTTAGCGTGAACCACAGCTCACCAGACCATGTAGGGGTGGGGGTGGTAGGGAGCGCGCTTACAGCTTGGTGTTTTCTATCGTCTCCAAGAAGAGAATTATATATATATAGATTATACTTAACCTGTTTTTTAAAACAAAAAAAAATATATATATAATTATAACAGGGCTGAAGAGTGACATTATTTTCAGAAGTGGATGGAGTAGTTTAACCTGTTGTGCCATTTAATGATGAATTCAAGGGCTATTAAGTAAAAATCATTTAAAAAGTGATGTCATTTATGTTTTGTGGATGACTACTACTATGTCGGATGTTTTCATTTGATGACACTTTACCACTGAAGAATACTTTAACCTTTATTATGTTATATCACAAGAAGATCGGTTGGGGGGGTAGTAAATTACTGGTGGACCACTCCCATGCTATCCTTAGTCTTGAGTTTCTATACTGAAATAAAAATAAATTGATGGACTATACTTGATGAGCCTTGTACACTAACAGGTCTGAAGGATACTTCTAAAGATGTTGATTTACTCCATGCTAAAATTTGGGGATTCTTAGCTTTTTGAAGTGCTCATGCTGCTATGCTTTACGGGTGATTTTAATGTACTTTAATATTAGAAGTATGGAAGTAAATTTCTCTAGTCATAATTAATTGCAGTCTTAACAATTTTTTTTTAATGTTTCAAATTTTATTTTACTAAATCTAGTTTTCTTTTGTGATATGCATTTTACTTGCACATAGCACTATTTTTAATGTTAGCAAAACTAATTCTATTTAAGTTAATTTGAATCAGTGTAATTGTTAAACCTCTTAACTCTTTGCAGTTCAGTGAGATGTTTTAGAAGTCATTTTAAAAAATGATTAAAGTATCAGGCGTCAGTAATTTTAATGAATCTGTTTATTCTCTTTTGCTTTTCTGTGCTTAGAAATGTTGTATTATGGGAGTCAGTAACTACCAAAATAAAAAGAAGCACTTTTTGTGCTTAATCTAAATTGTGTATGGTAATACTGCAGATCTATTTTTATGCTTTTACTTTTATACATAAAAAAGGTTAAAAAATACACATAAATTTGCAGAATAAAATTGGAAATTTTTTTTTATACTTTTATATCTAAAATAATAAATCTTATAAAAATTGTTTAAAATTCAGATCACCTAGTCGTGTTTTAAGTGTGACCTTGTATTTACTAAACAGCTATCATGAATATTGTTTGGACCAAATTTTTTTAACCTACCCCTTCTTTACATCAAAATTGTGTAACATTAATTTAAAATAAACAATTTATTATACATTTTTTTATTCAGCTTTTTTTGTAAAACAAAAGAACAAGCTGGCACAGAAAATACAATGACAACATAAATATTGATTAATAGATTTGTAAACACATTTCCACATTTCATTTACAATTACTTTAATCTCATAAAAAACAATGGTTAGCATAAGATCCAGTTTTTATGCGGTTTTCAACAAGTACAACACGACCAACATATGGAACCATGAATGTAGAGTTTATGTCACAAATGTATTGGCAACTCTTGCACACGACTATGAAGGTGTGTAAATTTTAAATACAAGTAATTTTCTTAGAATAATACTACCACCTACAAAAAACAACAATATATTTAAGTTCTAATTAAACATTAAAGTTGATAAAAATGACTAATTTGGCAGTGACAATAGACTAAAGCACTGTATCAGATTGCAGTAAGTTAAAAAATACATTGATGATTTTAAAAAGAAAAAAAAATGCATTACAAACTTTGAATAAAAAAGACAATAAAAAAAATGCAACAAAAATTATTTAAGTAACCTCTAAAAAGCCATATGTTCCATTGCATAAATTAAAACATCACTAAAAGTTAAAACAAGCAAACTAGAATAGTTCTTCCAAAAATAGAAGTAATACTTAAAGGAATTATTCCAATAAAACTGGAAGCTCTAGAAAAGGGCCAGCAGGCTTTTGAAAAAAAAATTATTTGGAAGTTACAACCAGAAAACAACCAATATTGCAATGTTGAGGTTGGAATAAGAAAAGCTTTTTTTACAAAGCATATTTTCAAAACAATACCAAATTTCTACCACCAGATAAATTTGTAACAAATCAATAATTGAAATTTCAATTACAAGTAATACAGCAATTAGAACAGAAAATCACCAGAGAAAATGCAAACATATTTTATTATTCATGTCAACAAGAATGAACTCTCTTTATTTTGAGTTCATTAAGGTTTTGAAATATTTTCATATGCTTAAATGTACAGAAATGCCACAAATGTCTAATCAAAACTGCATGCATTACAACTTCTGATCTCCATATTATTTTTTTTATGCAGTGAGAAATTTTAAAAATGCAATCAATTATCATATGTCAGTTTTAAATCACTTTGCACTTAGTGCATGCTTTACATGTAACAGTGATAAAGCAGATCAAGAAAAAATATTCTATTGCAACTTAGATAAATATTCTTAGCTTATTAATAGCACTCCATATGTTCAAAGTAGCTCCTAAAATATATATCACAAACATTCCTTTTAAATGCAAGTACACTACCAAACAATACATATGAAATAGTATTATAAAAGGCCTAAAGAAATTAGAGATTTGTTGAGGATGGGTTATAATACTTAGTTTTCATATATTATGAACTGAGACAATGCAGCATCTTTTATCATCATACATTATTATTTACTAAAATAAACATTTATTTCAAAGTTCAGACTTACCCTTATCATTGTCAGGGGGTAAATGGGGTTCATCAATTTTGTCAAAATTGCCATGCCATTGGTTAAATGCTAAAAGTGCTACATTTCTTGAACCTATAACATTCATTTCCATAGCGGCTGCAGCCGATTCAATTGCATTAACATAGTACAATCTATCAAACAACTGAAAGGGTGGGAGTTTCAAATTTGGTGTATATTCTGGATAGGCAAGCCAATTCACCATTCTGATATCTTGACGATCTTCAAATAAAAGGCTGGTTTGTTCTTCTGAAGGCACTTTGTTGAGGAATGTTTTCCAAACGGCTTGCCCAGGTTTAAAAGGTTGATCCGGGGACTGTTGTGGATCAACTGGGGATGGCTTGCCAATTGAGTTAAAAAATATATCAGGATTTATTGTAAATAGGTCTGATGGAAACTCATCATGATGCTGAATGTTAAATGTAGTTTTATTGATGCTTCCTTGTACAAACATGGCTGTTGTGGAATGATATTTCTGTGAAAAGGATGGAATTTGGTTAGGAAAACCATCAAATGATATTTTACTTTTGCTTCCTTCTATTGGAGCTGCAACAATGACTATGTCATATTCTTTAGAATCTGTGCTAGATTTATCTCCGGAGTTTTTCTTCTCATACTCCACTTCATAGGTAACACTCCCTGTCCCAAGCTCATCTTTCATCAAGGCAACAGTGTTAACTTGAGCTTCTATAAAGGACACCTTGGCCTCATGTAAAAGAGCTTCTGGGATTTCTTTGTTGCCATTTAATACAGACCACAATGCAGGCTCTGCTCCAATCAGTGAAACAGCACCTTAAAAGATAATGTAATTACATTTTAAAAAAAAGAGTTATTGCTTGTCTTTTTTTTTCCAAATCCTTTTGATTAATGTTAAGAAAAACTGATTAATTATTTGAGTGTTTTTTTTTAAAGTTTAAATAATCAGCTTATAGCTGTAACAATATAATTGCCTGAATATAGCAGATGTTACAATATGACTGAGTATTTATTGTATGCTTAAGCATCAGTAAAAATACTCACCAACAAACCCATGGACACTAGTAGTTTGACCATAATTATTTCTCATAGCAGCCATGGCTAGTTCATCAATAAATCTGGGTGACAGGCCAGCACTGTTCAACACTTCAACCAGAGAGTGGCGCGTCATATTTACCATGTCTTCACCCATAGCCCTCAGCAAGTCTTCCACTGTGGTAAAAGCCATCCCTTTTTCCTGGAAGTCATAGATTCTAATAAGAGGAAAAAATTAAGTTTTTAAAATTACAGTTCAATGATTTGATACTGATTTTCTTGTCACTGCCTTCAGTTTTGGGCAACAGATGCTTGTAATATAAATAAATGCAAAGCTAAATAATAGATACTTTAAAACCTTTACAGTTCAATACAAAATTAATATCTAACCACTTTTTAAAATATCATCTTAAATTTAAACCAGGCACTAGACATAGAAATAATATGTAAAGATGACTTTGATACTCTTCCAGTTATCTTAGTTAAAAAAAAAACATGACAAGAATTTACTAGAAAGTTATACAGACCTATTAAATTTGTTTTCAACCATGTTATGTGTCCACTCTCTAAGTGTATACAAGCTTAGCCCATATCTCCAGACCAGCTTTGCAAGGGTGATCGGCAACCAATTGCTTGTTTGAAAAACTATTCCATTATCTCCATATAGCCCAAATGAACTAGCGGAAACAGGCATTGCACCTGGCAAAACAGTTGTTGAGATTGAAATAGAGATTGAAACTCAAAAAATGAATACTCTTATTCTAAACTCAAAAGTTAAGGAGGGGGAGGAAACAAGCAGAAATAAAAGAAAAACAAGTTTCCTCAAAATGTGAGTGCATTATCATACAAAAATAACTATAATAGTATAATAAGGGTTAAAATTATTTCCATTAACTTCTACAAAACAAAAGTGAAATGTCAATGCAATGTCAACATCATACAAAACACCTATATTGACAGAGACATAAAAAGTAATTAGCACCACATAAGTGTATTTTTTAATTACTCTTCAATAAGAGTTAAGAGGAATGTAATAGGGTCAATTATAAGAAAATATCCATTAATTACAAATAATGAGTTTACTGAGCTAGTTAACTAGTGTTAATTGTCACAGTAATAAACAACACTGCTAAATGTTGTTAGATATGGCTTCAATAATCTGACACTGCCTAGACATATACATAGAATGCAACAGGTTGGGTTTTGAAAAATGGTTTTTGTTTTAGCTTAGGTTTATCATAAATAATTAACTCATGGAACAAACATGTACCCAGTAATTCACAGAAACAGAAAAATTTTCACACGTCCACTTACTTTTGTTAAACTTTTCAGCAAAATTGACCATGTATCTGTTCTTCTTGTGAATGACACTACCCCCTGCTTCATAGTGTTGTCCATTTATTTTAATAACAGCAGTTCTCCCTCCCACCTTGTTGGATTCAAAAACATCAATAATTGCCTTCTCACCAAAAAGCTGCCTCAAAAAGTAGGCAGCTGATGTTCCACTGATCCCTGCTCCAATTATACCTAAAAGTAAAATCAAATAGTGACAAAATATTAAATGAGAATCTTTTACTTTTATGATTAGCTAACCAGATATTTATACAGCACAGTATATAATATTTTGAACACATGTAGTGGGGAAAGTTTAGTTTTACTATCATTGCTATTTAATATTGAATGCAGTTTTTTTTTATCTTTCACAACTTCTTCACATTGTAGCTTTCTAGTCAAGTATGTATTGTTAGCAGCAGCCACCACTGTGATTACTGTGAACATACTTCAAGTCCAATAAACTTAGGATTTTATTGTGCTGAATTTTACAGCACACCAAATAATCCTGTCTTGGGGATGTTAAACCAGCTGGTGACACAAAGGAGGATGAGTGGCTCATAGGAAAGTTGATGTCATAAAATGGTGTAAGTATGTGAAGGGGGTGATCAACAAAGGGGGATGTAAAAGACTATTTGGTGAATTGTATTTGGAGTGAAACGTGTGTGATAGTTGAATACCTGACCAACAGAAGTGAATGCATGAGCGATCAATCACTGTATTTTGCAGATCGCTCACTGACTGAAGGGAGTGAATGTAGGGCTATATAATCGGGTAAATGAGATGTTCGGGAGACCAGATGAATGCAAGGGGAAGCTATGTGTGTTGACGGTTAGGACTTAAATGTTTTGTTACTGATTGAAGTGTATTTTTTGCTGTTGTAAATAAAGTTATAAAATGAACAGCAGTCTATCGTCTATTCTTGAAAGAAGGAACTCACAATAACATCTAGTTGTTTCAATCCCAACATAGAGTGTTACAGGGGATAGGAACAGACTACAATCTTTTTATAAATAGCTGCTTATAGTGAATATAAAGTAATATTAAATATGAAGTGGTTTGGCAGTGTACCTTACACATCAGTATGGGAAAAACAGAACAAATCCCAGAGAAGCTAGAAATTCTGAACAGAAGATGGAGATGGACAGGTCTTACATTGAAGAAACATGCAATAAGTACTGCCAGAAAAGGCTTATCTTGGAATTCAAAAGAATTAAGAAAAAGAGGGAGACCCAAAAATGGGACTGGGTAAAATGTGAGATGTGAAATGGTAGTATTACTTGCTAACCCGGAGGCGTAGCCGGTTGCTAACAACAATATGGCATGGAAGTGGCTATTAGGACCCGGGTCCCAATAACGGCCGAGGCTATTGGGACCCGGGTCCTAATAGTTACTAATAGCCTCGGCCACTATTGGGACCCGGCATTAAGTTCGTTAAGCACTTGCACAACCTGTATTAAAATTATACCTTTTATGTTTATTTGATTTTTCTTGTGGATTTGCTCGTATTTTGTTGTCTTTTATTGTAATTAGTTATGCGAATTAGCTAGCGTTAGTTCTTGTGTTGCTATTTCTAAATACCCTACATTTAGCTATATATAGAAAATCATTAAATACTTAGTAATTATCGTAAGACGTCGTGGTCAAGTGGAGAAGGCAGAAGCTCCCGAATTTCGATCAGTTACGGGATCGGAACCTTTCAAAGCTCTCGTTTTTGCGTGAAGTAAAGTGTTTTTATCTAAGTTTAACATTCCATTGAGTTGTTTGAATAGGCGTCTTTATTTAAAATTGTTTTTTTAAATAGATTAGATCTATATATTTTTTTTCTAGATTTAGGTTTTTAAACACGCCAATTATAAAAACATCATTGCTCCATTGATCGCCCGCTCGCGTTTTCTGGTCAGCGCAAGAAAAATACCGACATGGTGTCTGTGAGTTCACTTTGGTTTAGATGTGAACAGTGTAGCAAGACCATTGCTATGAGCTTGTCGAGATTTGTCGTCGTAGTTTTCCTCCCCCCCCCCTCTCCCAAACCAGAAAGAGGGAAAACGGATTTGGGGTCATTGTGAGTTCAAATGTTACGTATTGCTTCTATTAAAGCGTACTACAACGCATGCGAGATATTCGTGTTCAAGAAAACAGGCCCAGGAGTTGTAGTCTGCAGCCTATATCATATGAGCTATCTTATACAATTTTATATATATATATAAAATATAGAAGTTCATACCATAGGCCATAATTATATTATAGACCTAACGACACCCGCTCATCATAACATTTGTCAGTAATGATATCGGGTATTTAAAGCAAGATCTCTATATATCATTTAGAATTACAAGGAAAAAAATCACAACAGAGAAGATATATTCTGCATCTTAAAAGAATTTTTGTATAATTAAATTTTAATAATTCTATTGGCTGGTCCCAATAGCGGCCGAGGCTATTAGGACCCGGGTCCCAATAGCGGCCGTGGCTATTGGGACCCGGGTCCCAATAGATGCATCCATATGGCATACAGACCGGATGCATGACTTCCGATGAATTTTCATCTTAGTTCCAATTACCTGCTTAGAATTACTGTTTAAAATGTTTACCACCTGCAGTCTATGTAAAAAGAAATCAAATATTGTGGGCTGTTTTTTATAAGACCGGTGTTCATATCACAACCAATTTTTTAAAAACCACATGACTGCTATTTGGCTCATCACTAGTGAGAAACTCTGGTGCATAGCCAATTAAAAAGTCGAACCGAATCATGGTTTGCCGTGGCTTCAGACATAAATTGTGTTGTCATGGAGAGGTGTGTCGTGCATGGCAGTGAGAGACAATAAATATTAAATTAAGTAATTTAGTTTAAAACTAAATAAAAACTTCAAAATTAGTGCCTTAATGGATTAAATATGGATGTCCATTAGCCTATTCAATGGTCATGGTTAAATTAAAAATTGCGTACATTTCAGATTTAGTGAGAAAATCTACTAAATGGCAAAGCGGTAAATTGTGAGCAGGTGGTAAATTGTGAGAAGGTTGCGAAAATGGCCTGTCATGTGAAATTATAGTTATTTAGGCCTATTTATAGTATTTATTTAGTTTAGGGCACTATTAATGGAATCATGACTATTCTAAGTGTATGGATTTAGAAATATAGATAGATCTATATATAATAGTATAGGCTAAGTACTGAGTGTAGTCCACGGTTCCCAACCTGGGGTCGCGAAGGGCTTTCTGGGGGGTCGCCAACTGGTATACTAAACCTTAGTAATTTGAAACACAACATAAATATTTAGAAGCATTTTTGAAATTCAGCTTTACTAACATCACTGGAAAGGGAATAGAGAAGAAGCAAAGCGTACTGTACAAAGTTGTTCTCAGTCACGAGTTTATGAAATCTTCAAAACTAAAACGTCATTTGAGACGAGTCATTCGAAACACACCAAAAAAGATATGGAGTTCTTTCATCGGTATGAAGCTAGTTGCAAACGTCAGAGACTTGATCGAACAGGAAGTTTTCACCAAGGAAACACAGCATTAGTGCAAGCATCACATGAAGTCGCGGCAAAAAATGCCAAGCAAAAAAAAAAACACAATAGGAGAAAATCTCATCAAACACTACATGTTGAAGATGGTGAAGTTAATTCTTACATGTCTGTAGATGTTAAATAACAAATTTTTATTGAAATTAAAGTTCACCATTGTTTGCTTTTCAAGTTGATAAATCAACAGATGTGAGTTCGTGTTTGCAGTTGCTGGTCTTTGTCTTTATTCATTCAGATGATAGCAAAGAAGAGTTGCTCTTTTGTGAAGATCGCATAGAGAAAATAAATAATTTTTTTTTTTAAATAGGATGATTAAAATGGGTTAAAACGGCTGTGAGGGTTTGTACGGATGGTGCACCATCTATGTTTAGGTCAAAATTGGGCTTTCAGAAAGCAGAAAAGATTTAGCTCCCTAACCACTGCCCTCACCAATCGCCATCAAGACTCCATTGCTAGTATAAGTCGTAAATTATATAAAATCTGGAGCCTTCAAAGAACTGAGCAAAGACCTGAATAAAGATCATGAGGTTCTGCTCTTCTACACTACAGTGCGCTGGCTGTCAAACGAATTGTTGTGAATCATGTTTTTGAATTGAAATCTGAAATCAAATTGTTCTTGGAAATGCAAAGGAAACAAGACCTTTTGGTATACTTAAAATGACATAGAGTGGTTGGAGAGAGTATCATACATAGCAGATGTGTTCGTACATCAACATAAGCATAACCTGAAGCTTCAGGGAAAATGATCGAATATTATCTCTTTCCAAGATAATCTCGGGGCATTTTTTATCAAAGCTGCAAAATCGGCAAAGAAAATAAATCTTGGAAATATTGTAAATTTGAGAAACTCTGCAGTGTGGTAGATGAATCTAATTGTGAGATAATTAAAATTTTGAAAGAAGAAATTTCTGGGCATCTTGAATCTATTGAAAACGAACTGCAGCGCTATTTCTCTGAGCTGAAAAAAAAAGAATCTGCATTCATGCATTATCCATTCTCTTATTCCCTTGATGTTGCCAGCATTCCCGAGAATTACAAGATGAATTCTTTGATTTGTAGAATGATTCCGCGTAAGATGAAAAACTGCAGACACAACTTTGGTGTAGTATTCACCATTTAGTCTATATCCAAACGTAAAATTGATTGACTTTTTGAGAATATATACTTTGAACACTATTTTTCGATTAAAAACAAAATTAAGATAATGATAATGACATAGGTTGGTGTTAACAAAAAAAAATACTTTAAAAAAAATTAACCGTGAATGTTTAGGGAATAGTATGCAATTTTACTCATGGTATTAAAACAGTTATCAAGAGTAGTTCATATTGAAAGTCTACTAGAAAATCTTATTTTAGTGCTAATTAATTTACATAGGCCTACTAATTTCCGCTTTTTAATTCTATGGGGGTCACGGGCCACTTCATTTTTATAAAAGGGGGTCGCCACTCGAAAAAGTTTGGGAACCACTGGTGTAGTCAGTGTACACTACACAGTAGTAAACAGTACACTTGAGTACACAGTCTGACCATATTGATATCAACAGGAAGATTCCTGAACCTGAGGAATCAGTTCACTTGAATCACACTCACACACTTACACACCTATTCTAGGAAGCATTTCGTCGTCTTGTACAGAACAAGAAGATTGGAGAAGAAAATGGAGAACTCCTAGTAAAACATAAATAAGCCGCATCCTATTTAAACGTGAACAATTGTTACTGATTACAGTAGAACTAGACTTTGTATTGAAAATGATTGAGTGGTCTACCAAGCCTAGGGTTAACTGGTTTTTAAAAGGTTATATAAAAGTAGGAAGAAGATGCTAACGAAACAAAGGTATAAAAATAAAATTCGCAAAAAAATGTAAATAATACACACACCCGTAGTATGCTTAAGCCGCTAAACCCCTTAATTAAAATGATATACCTTGTATTATATATAGATCTACATTTAGTTATTTACAAACTATATTTTTTAAAAATTTTGATAATATAATACAATATTATTAGCGATAAGAATTCAGATACAGACTGTAGTTATTTATTATTTAGCCGATTTACAATTATTATTATGTTAGCGAAACCGAAAATTTTTATGAACGTCAAGCATGGGAAATTCCCTAACAAAATAAATTGTTTCGCCTTTATCATTTTATTCCAAGAAAAACTATTCCAGTTTCGTTTACGTGCACCATTCACGTAAACTCAGTAAACTGTAAACTAAAACACCCGTTCTGGAAACCCCATAATATTACGTGTAAGTTCTATAGCGTAATCTATAGATCTAGATCTATTTTTTATTATAATTAACAACACAACACTACGGAGCAGATTTTGTCACCAGGCAGTGAGTTAAGGCAGTGTCGCAGTGTTTTTCTTCTTCTGGTAACTGACAGTTGACTAGAGTTGACTGAGTTGACAGTGACACTGACTTCATCAACTCTCAAGACTCAAGACTCTCAGCCACTGAGTCTAAGACTAAGAGTCTAGTGACAGTCTAGTCTAGTCTGTCAATAGATCTAGATCACTAGATTTACTATTATTATTATTATTCAAAATAATATTCATGCTACTGCTGGAAGTCTGCTCTAAAATTTGACTAAAATGAATCCATGGCATATTGTCTTGTAAAATGTCAACCTTAGACAAATATTATTGGTAAGCTACACACTAGTCACTAGATCTAGAAGTAGATCTAGATAATACTTATTTTTACTTAGTCATAAAAGATTTTACGGTAATTCTTTAATTTTTAAAATTTTACATACATTTATAGTTGCAGATTCTGCAACCTTGTATTTAATGGCCCCATACCACTTCAGCAGCACAATGATTGTGCCAAACACCTCAATCAAGTCAAATTGAGCATGATCAGCGCTAGCTCTTGCAGTCCAAAACCAAATTCCCCAAGTGAAACAGAAAAACAGGCTCAGACAGAGAAACAGAACAGTGTTTGTCAAAAAAATGTAAACCCCCAACGAGAATTTTTACTGGAAAATTTGAAAAAAGCCTGTGATATCGCTAAGAGAAGTGCACTTGAGGTGAATGGAACTAACCAGCTAAGTAAACCCCCAGTAAAACCAGTAAATATTGATCCTGCTTCTCCTAATTTATCACGAAATAATTCTCAAGCTGTAGGTTTACAAATGGAGCCTTCTCAAGGGGGTTCATTCTTACAACAAACTGGACCGAATGGTGAACCTTATGTGATGAACGGTGATAGAGGGTATTGTTATATATGTGGCATTGATCTCACTTCCCAGCAACACTGTACTCAACATGTGGAGGGAGGAAAACACCTTAAGAAGTTGCGAGAGCTGGAAAACAGAAGCATGTTTAATACAAATAGCAGAAATACCTTTCCAAGTCAGGAAAATCTTGCGCAAGAACAGGCAAATAATAGGGGACCAAACGGTGAAGAGTATGTTTTAACAGCAATAGGTGGTCGATGTTATGTATGTGGTGTTCAATTCACATCTGAATCACATGGTTCGCAACACTTGTCCGGACAGAAACATAAGAAAAAAGCTTCCCCTTATTTATTTCCAGGACAGCCTGCTCAGAATCCTGAACTTCAGAGTAGCCTCCCTTCTCAACCTTATCAAGTGTCTTCTCCTTCTCTGTTATCAGGTGTAAATGCATTTAGACAAGAGAGAGTGCAGAAAGAAATCACCCCCTTACCTGCCACGGAGAAAAGAGGCCCAGAAGGGGAAACTTACTTCATGCGAGGCTCTAAAGGATACTGTTATGTCTGTGATTTAGAACTCACCTCACCCGAGCATGCACAGTCCCATTTAAACGGCCAGAAACATAAAAAAAAATGTGGGAATTCTGGGATTGAAGGAGCTGAACCGTCAGTTTCAGGAAAGGTTTTGATGTGCTCGGTGTGTAAGGTGCCGTTTTCTTGCATAAAAAACGCAGAAGAGCACTTTAAAAGTGAGAAACACAAGAAGAAAGAGCAGCAGTTTTCAGCATGCAATCTGCCCTCCAGCAGTTTTGACGCGGGGTTTCTAAATGACCCAGAACAGACGCTAGTTATGAAGGTATATCAGTCTTCATTGTCCCAGAATCAGAGTTCTGCTCCCAGCATCTCTGGACTGAATAATAGTTCCATTACTCGGACTTCATCAGAAAAAAAAGATATTTCGCCTTGCTCCTATTCCAGTAAAGATGACTTACAGTGTGATTCTACAATATCTCCTTCTGCACTTCCGTCCTCGATAAATGGCCCTGTTTTAAATCCAGTGGTGTATTGTCAAATACTGGATGGTAACAGCAGTAATTTGTCAGCGTCTGTCAGCACAACACCGCAGAGCCCTGATATCTCAACTCAAATTCCTCTCAAAAGTCACACAGCACAAAGTGCAAACAACAACAATGAGCAGTTACAGCAATATCAAACTAACACTGTTACAAATGAGACAAGGCCAGAAATAAAAACGTCAAATATTGCCAGTGATTTAAAACAAGATGAAAACAACCTAACATGCAGCCCCAATGAAGTTTCCAAGTTAAAAAGTAAGAAACTGGGAGTACAGACTGGGATCAGTACTGTGCACATCTCAGCAGAAAATACACCAAGTTTTTCAAGTCTTACTGACAACACCAAGCAGAGTGTTTTCCCCTCTCCTGTAGCCTCCAGGATTTCAGAAGAAAAAGAAATCAACACATCAGTTAGTCCTCAGCAACAGAGAAGTTCATCAACTCAGCCTTTAGAGGCAACTGGCAGTATACCCTTAAAGTCAGGAAATCCTTTGCAACAAAGAAGCTTATCAGTCCAGTCTGAAGCAGTTATGTCAGTAAGTCCTCTACAACAAAGAAGCTTATCAGTCCAGCCTTTAGAAGGAGCTAGCTATGCACCCTCTAAGTCAGGAAATCTTCTGCAACAAAGAACTGTATCAATAGGAGCTCAGCCTAAAGAAGCAGCTGACTATACACCTGCTATGTCAGGAAATCCTCTACAACAAAGAAGTTTATCAGTCCAGTCTGAAGCAGGTACATCTGGAAGTCCTCTGCAACAAAGAAGTCTATCAGTCCAGTCTGAAGCAGTTATGTTGGGAAGTCCTCTACAACAAAGAAGTTTATCAGTCCAGTCTGAAGCAGGTACATCTGGAAGTCCCCTGCAACAAAGAAGTCTATCAGACCAGCCTAAAGAAGCAGCTGGCTATACATCTGCTATGTCTGGAAGTCCCTTACAGCAAAGAAGTTCATCTGTTGAAGCTCAGCTAACCCAAGAGTCCACTACCACAAGAGCAGTTTCTGCTTCACACCCTGATGTGAGGAACTCCAAGCCTCCTTATACAGCTTATTTTATACCCTCAGAAAAACAGATCCCACCCAATGTCAAAGATGGGCTAGAATCACCCAAAGGAAACCAGACAGTAAACATGCTTGATGGGACATCCCAGGGTCAAGAGCTAGCAGTGCCACAGAATGATAGGAGCCATTCACCTGACCATAACTGTCAATTTGAGGACCCAGAGCAGCCAGCACATAACTTATCAAACCCCAACAGTTTGGTGGCTGGAACTAAAGTTCTTCAAAAAAACACACAAAGTGATGCTAACTTGTCCCTAGCAAGTCAATATCATAGTATCAACTCTGCGGATCAGAACTGTACCCAAAATGTTTGTGATGAAAAACAACTCAACAGAGTAGGCCATAATGAAAATACACCCAGTCATTCAGATAGACCATCTATGACAGAAATTACACAAAATAGGCAAGAAGTTGCTTCTGGAGTTAAAACTCAATCATCTGTTGTTAGCAATGGAGAGGAGTTTTTCAGTGTTAATAGTGAGAACAGCTCACCACAGTGGCAAAGGAGTTTACAGTCAGCAGCAAACGATTCCCAATCTGAAGCTAGGATAGCTGTTGGAGGTAGAGAAAATAATAACCCAAATCTTGTTTCGGCTTACAAAACAGAAGAAAGAAATAATTTTCCTCAACGTGACCAGGATTCTGATCAAGAAAAGAGACAGGAGAGGATGGAAGTAACCCCAGAGTACCCAGAAGAAGATGGAATCCAGCAGGACAGAATGGAAGTATCACCAGGAATCCCTGGTCAAGGAGGAGTTGGACAGGACAGGATGGAAGCAACACCAGAACAGTCTAGCCCACAACAGATGGTCCTTAACGAGAACGACACGGACATGAATGATTACTTCTTTGACGGCAGGCGCGGCTTCTGTCATGCATGCAATTTAAAGCTGACGTCCCAACAGCACGCTAATCAACACTTAAATGGACAGAAACACCACAAAAAGGCCGCACAGAGGATACTGATGTTGAATCTTCAACAGAGGGGGTTCTTTAATGGTACCACTCAGATGGCTAACAATGTTCCCAATTTCTTGACTCGCCAGGAGAACGCAGGTAACCAAGATCAACCTTTTGTGTTTAATGTTGATAAAGGACATTGTTACGTTTGTAACATTGAGCTAACATCCAAACAACACGCTAACCAACACTTGACAGGGAAACCCCATAAACGTATGGTCGAGAGGGCTAATATGAACAAACTGGGGATTAAATATCCCGAGTATTGTGACATTTGTAAGAAGAGGTTCACAGGTCAGGAAAGCGCTGGGCAGCACTTCACTTCTAGTAAACATAAAACTAAGGAAGATCTTCTTGCCCAAACTGTAAACCCTATCAGAACTCTGGACGACTGTAAAGTTATAATGAAAGATGGACAACAATGGTTCTTCTGTGATGTCTGCCAGTGTGTCCTAAACACGCTGAAGCAGCTCTACGAGCATAGAGAAACTCCTAAGCATAAAAAGGAATTTCTTATCAGACAGGAAATGGCTGATGCAGCTCCTTCTGATGAATGTGATGGTAACAGATTTAATCAGGATGCTGTGGCCAATGCACAGAGAAACACTGTGACGGAAGGAGTGATGGATAAAAATCGACGTTTCTTGACTTATGGAGAAGTACCTTTTGCAAATTGTGACAGGCTTTCACAAACTAGGGAATTGAGTCCTGTTGGTAAGCGGAAACTCTGCATTTTTATACTTATTATATAGCATATTAACATTTCTACATGAAAAACGTGTAAGACTTTGTTAAGTAAATGACAATCAAATGATGACAAACATAACTTGCTTTGCTGTAAATTTTTATTAGTAATTTGATCAATTCAATTAACTAAAATATTCACTCTATTTGAGAAAAATACATAATCATATTCACAGAGATTTTAAAATTGTTTTTAAAAATATAACTGTTTGATTGTTTTGTAATATATTCACTTAATTTTTTAAAAATATTTTTTTTCCAGGGCTTGATGTCCGAGGTTCTCCGTTGCTAGTAGAGTCTAGAGTACCCAGATATGGGGATGGGGCAGCAGCCACAGGAAACAGAGAATGTTCTCCCTTGACATATCCTCAAAGCCAAACTCCAACAAATCCCCTGTACAACAGCCCATTTGGTGGTGCTAGGGGTGGTTGTTATTCCCCCTCTCATTCTGGGGGTGGTTATTCCCCCTCTCATTCTGGGGGTGGTTATTCCCCTTCTCATTACGGAGCTGTTGGTGATGGAAGAAGCGGTGGTGAAGCGGCTGGTAACAGGAGGGAAGGAAACCAAAATGGCAACAGTTCCAGAGAGCTAGGTGAGAGGTCAGCAGGAAATGACTCAGACGGATATGATGATACTGATGGATTTGGCGCTGCCAGAACTGGAGACCGCGCAGGCTTTATTTCAGCGCCAAAATCAAGAGGCACGAATCGTGCCACAGGCCGAGGCGGAGAAAGAGGAGGGAGGATTTCGCTGGATAAAAAAGAAGAAATCGATAGCGAGGATGAAATGGAACAAATTGAAGACAAATTAGACTGTTTCAACATCAAAGACGACGTGGTTGTTACAACAACGAAACCTGAGGTAAGCAACACCCAGGGTCTGGAGAGATACAGAAAGCAAGGGTTTCGTTATCGCTGCAGCATTTGTGACACTCCCCTCAACACTAAAGAAGCCTGGGAGCAGCATGCTAAAGGCAGCCGTCACCTTTATAATTTATCCTTTCAAGCTGCACCTGTAAGGAATTTGGAACCAATTCGCAAAACATTTATTTCTGAGAACGACATAGTTAACCAAGCATTCAAAGTGATAAAAGATACACCACGCTGTTATCAGGTAGAACTTGTTGTCAAGGCAATGAAGGGAGACTCGATTATTTACCTGCCCACTGGTAAGTAGACCAGTTAGATATTTGTGTTGGTTCGATATCCCCTTTACACTTCTTTGACTTAGCAACAGTTAAGTGGTATAGTTCATAGGATCTCTCCAAATCCATCCATCCAGCATTGATACTGATAGGTACTTTACTTAATTCTAAGAATGTATAATCTATGCAAACAATGAAATCTTAGAAATAGATAAACTCTTTTTCATCTAACCTATTGACTGTTTGGTTAGAAAGGTGGCTGCATGAAGGCTCTTGACATCTGCCTTATAAACTACCAAAATTTTGGAACTTTTCTTTAAAAAAATACAGGTATAAATCAGTTCACTGACATTAATAACCTGAAAATTTGGTAATGAAATTTATCATTGTGTTTGGTTTTCTCCACCCAGGTACTGGTAAGACTCTTGTTGCCGTGGTGACCATTGGCCTCATGCTGCAAAGAAACCCTTCAAGACCAGTTTTATTCCTCGTGGACAAAGTTCTCCTTGTGTTACAGCAAGCTAAGTACATAATGACACAGCTGAAGGATAAAAAGGATAAAAATGATAATCTGTTCAACTTGTGAGTCATGGTTGATGTTTTTATTTCCTATTTCATCATAGTTAACTGTACTTTTTAAAAAAATGTCAATCTGAAAAGATCTGAGTGTTCAAATTATGTATATCTAAACAATAAAACATTAGGCTACATAACAAAAAAAGACAATATAAGAATGATTAAATTATAAATAATAAATTCAACACAAGGAATCAGTATTTATAATAATTTATTATAAAAGCATAAATACAAATTAGGCGATGAAAATAAAATATGAAATTTAAACAAAATGGCAAATTTTCATCAGCACAAGATTTATCTCCTTTGAATAAATGGTTTTGCTTTTCAATTGATGAAAAAGAAGTTTAAATTTTAAAGCAAAAAGATGGACATTGTGCAATATTTTAGAGTGAACAAAATCATGTTTAATTTATTTATATCGCGAAAACCATGAATCTTTTGACAATTTTAAAAATATTTTTGTAACTTTAAAATATTTAATGTTTGATGAAAACCCAAACTGGCAACATTCTTCTTTTATCAAATTAGACCTGATCCCCACAATGAAGGACAGTTTATAGAGAGGGAAGTTATTGTCAGAACATTATTTGGTGGCCAGGTTTCCAAAAGTGACATTCCAATTTGGAAGTCAGATATTATAGTTACCACAGCAGGTACTGTTTGTTTTGATTTCATAATTGCTAGTGAAATTATTTCAAGTTAATATTAATCTTAGTTAAGCTAAACATAATCTTTGTTTTAGAATTATTTTTCATTAATTACATCATTAACCAATTTATTTTTAGTTTGGTAATGTGTGTTTGCTATGTAAGTTTATTATTTCTATATAAGCAGCATCTATTGTGGACTTTTGTAATTAATGGCATTGTCCATAAGTCATCCTGATTGAGCCATAGACCCCCACATATCATGTTATAACATATTGGTGTCACTATGCTCTACCAACATCACAATTTTTTTTCTTACATGAAACCTTATTTTTCCCCTCATAATTTTAGTCTTTTTTACACCCCCCCCCCCACATATAACACACTTTGCACATTTCTAATTGATGTGTGTTATAAATTACTATGGCCTCGTTAGGCAGAATATCATTCCTAAATTTTTTCCAACCGCCAACCGCTCCCCATACTACAGTATTTAAAAAAAAAACAATTTCCTGAAACAATATGCTAACACCTCCCCCTCCCAAACATGGTACAGTATTTAAAAAACACTTTTATTTCTGCTCATCCTACTGCCACAATATGCTAACACCTCCCCCCTTCCCCCACTCCCAAACATGGTACAGTATTTAAAAAACTCTTTTAATCCCGCTCAGCCTACTGCCACCACATGGTACAATATTTTTAAAAATATAAAAATTTCTGCTCAGCCTACTGCCACAATATGCTAACACCTCCCCCCCCCCCTCCCAAACATGGTACAGTATTTAAAAAACAAACTCTTTTATTCCCGCTCAGCCTACTGCCACAATATGCTAACACCTCCCCCCTCCCCCCACTCCCAAACATGGTACAGTATTTAAAAAACAAACTCTTTTATTCCCGCTCAGCCTACTGCCACAATATGCTAACACCTCCCCCCCCCCCTCCCAAACATGGTACAGTATTTAAAAAACAAACTCTTTTAATCCCGCTCAGCCTACTGCCACAATATGCTGAACAAGAAACTGATCCGATGGGAAGATTTCTCCTTGGTTGTGATGGATGAGGTCCACCACTGCCACAAGGGCCATCCATACTTAAAGCTCTTCAGCCAGTTCCACAACCCATTGCCTGAGGACTCCAGGCCAAAGATATTGGGGCTGACAGCCTCACCAGCTGGTAAAGCTACGGTGCAGGAAACTTATGACATGCTTAAAACACTTTTGGCTAACCTAGGTGAGTAGAATGGCGTATAGAGTGTTGGAATTCATAATTAAAGTAAAGAATCCTCTGAAGCCCTAGCGAAAACCTAGCGAACCATTTCGCAGATGAAGTAGAGTTTGTATGTTTCTTGACCTTGGCATTTGAAGGGAAGGTGTGGTCAGCACTTTGCCCAGCCAACTTTACTTTCCCTAACATGAGTTCCCTAACATGAGTTAGGTACCCATAAGAGCATTTATAGACATTAACAAAGAGTAACTACATGTACATTGTAGCATAATAAAACATATTTCCTTAAAAGATGCCACAATTAAAGTATGTAAGTAAAATTACTTGGTATTTGTACGTTTTTCTGTTTACGCAGTTTTCTGGTTGTGCATTGTCATGTGGTGTTGTGGGTGCCATGCACACCACATTTTTGTAGACAATAAACTTATGGTATCTTATTCTACACAGGTGGTGCTAAAATACAAGTAGTTGAGAAAGAAATTTTAGAACTTGAAGAGTTTCAATCTTCAGCTAAACTCCATGCGATTTGTGTCCCCATGTCCCACAAGGAGAAGGATTTCAGATTCCACCTTCTGAAATACTTTATTCTCTGCTATATCAAGTTTGCTCCCTTATCTTCACTGAACAACAATGATAATATTCCTTGTTCCTATCTTCTGCCTGCTGTAAAAAGCCGTGGTGATCTAGGGGTAAAAGTTCTTTTGACATGTAATGATAACATAAATCATATACAACAGCTAATTTAAAAAGTTTAAAAAAAATGGTAACATTAGAAGATGTGTTTTTTTTTCAAGAAAATTATTGTTTAGTTTAAAAACTCAAACTTAACATGTTTGGAAACATTAAAAAATGTGTTCTTTTTTCTAGGCAAATGTAAACATTAGTAGTTTTGTTATTTTTAAGAAAATTATTGTTTAGTTAAAAAACTCAAACTTAACATGTTTGGAAACATTTAAAAATGTGTTTTTCTTTCTAGGCTGTTGAGCAATTAGCTCAACAGTTTCTCAATGATGACGAGCCTTTAACAGAACTGATGCACATGATTTACAACTCTGGACCTTTGAAGGATAATGCCAATGAGAAGTTTCACTTTTTGAAACTTCACATGTTTGAAATTCTCCTGGTCTTGCCTGAAGTGTCCACTGGCTCAGATTTCATCCCTGGCCTGCTGAAACTTCTGGAGCCAAATCCATTTTTAAAGGTAAATTGATAATATTGGTATGTCCTTTTGAAAATTTAATTTCCCCTTTCAGACCTTATGATCCATAGGCCAGATGAAGTAAGTAAAAGTAAAGTTTCCCTTTCAAACCTGACGGTTTATGGGCCAAGTGAAGTAGAGTTCACTTGTTTCTGTGACCTCGGCATATGAAGAGATAGTGTGGTCAGCACTATGCCCAGCCGCCTTTACTATCCCTAACATGAGTTAAGTACCCATCAGAGTTGGGTGGACTCAGGGACGGTCTACTGACTTTAACCCGGATTCGAACTCGAGTCTTACGCTAGACTCTACCGCTAGACCACTCTGTCTCACGCAGATGAAGTAGAATTCATGTTTCTTGACTCTGTATATGAAGGGATGGTGCTGTCAGCCATATTTATTTTCCCTAACATGAGTCAGATACCCATCAGAGCTCTATAGACTCAGGGACGTCCTGCAACCTGGTGTAGGGATCTCAGACCTTTGATAAGAGTTGGAATAGCTGGTCATATCAATGATCATATTTGATTCTGCATTTAAAACTTTAATTAAAATATGTTTTGTAAGGATTGTTATATTGGCAAGTTTTATGTGGAAATGTATAAAAAGGGATAGATGTATATGTGTTGTCTGACAAGGCAATACAAAAAACCATGATAAAATAAACAGTAGAAATAAAGTGGTATACATTACAATACTTAAGCCTTTCTGTTTATACTTAAATGATATTTTCACCTATTTAAAAGTGGGGCTGAGAGGGGTGTTTTACAGTGTAACACCATCACTAGTTGAGACCTGAATTAGGGTTAAGGTTAGGTTAACAAAACTAATAAAAACAAACTGTCTAACGCTTCTTCCTGAAGATGTTCTAGGAGTGCTTTTATTTTTTAAACCAGGAATTGAACCTGCCGTACATGGAGATGCAACAGAGAGTGAAAAATTTTGCAGAGGATGGTAACAAAGACTTGACCATGTTTTCTAAACTTATTATGGTGAGTGCACTCTGGTGTATTCTTTGTCCTGATGATTCTTCATGCAAGTGAATTATAGTGCATCTTATTTTTGTTTTACTTTGGTCTGTTAGAATGCTTTGACACTTATATTTCCCCAGTATAAACTCAGTCCTTTTGATTTTTTTAACATTATCTTATTTTAATTAAACCACTTATATATCCTAATCGCATGTTTCAGACCCCCTCCCCATCTCTATAAAATGATATCACTAATCCCCCCCCCAAAAATAAATAAATAACTAACTCATGCTCAGATTTTTTTATTTTCAAGCAAATACAAAACATATGGCATGTCACATTTCTTATTCACTTCTCTTAAGTACCAAATCATTTGTTATATCTGTCATGCCAAATGTCATGTCAAGTGTATCAGTCAATATAAAGTGAGTCGTGTCTAATGTTTTCAGACACTCAAAGACCCCAGTTACATGGACTGGTCTGTTGAAAGCTGTAAAGCCTTAGTGCTTGTAAGGGAGAGAAAAATTGCCAGACAACTCAGCCATAAACTGCGTGAAGAAGCGTTTATTAAGGAGCGAGGCTTACGTGTGACCCACCTGGTTGGACATGGAAGTGGTGCGCAGGATGGGGGAATGGATGTCAAGAAGCAGAAGAAAGTTCTTGACAATCAAGAAAGGTACATTAAAAAAAAAAATTTATGTCTTTGTGCTTTTCATTTCTCACTCTTCTTATATTTGAGGAAATGGTGTTATTTGTATTGTAATAACATTTTATATTCCTCAACTTTTTCAAACCAAGAAACAAATTTTTTAAATTTGTTTCTGCTTCAACTTGGTTGTGTTAATTAAAATTTTTCTTACACTACTATAGAATAACACTCATATGTATTCATAAACAAACCTTTAGTTTATTTTGACATTAATTATGATAATTTATAAAAAGTTGTCTACTGATGAAATCTAAATGTTTAGATTTATTTTTAGATGTTTGACTGAAAAAACCCCTCAAAAATGAAATCTTATTTTTAAAAAAAAACTTGTTTCACTTCTGCAAAATTATCAGTTTCATTTTTTAATCTCCTAAAGGTATTGGATAATAATAATGACCTCTATCATGGATTGATTTCTATTTCTGCAGCTTATTATCATATTCATTTTTATTTTCAATAAACATTATTTTTCATTTCTGCAACAATATCAGTTGAATTTTGATCAGCTACAGGTATCAGATAGTAGTAACAACTTCCATGGAAGAGATCATTGATTTAGTCTCTACAGCATTATATAAATATCTTTATTTAGGAATAAACCTTTTTTCATTTTAATTCTGCAACATTACCAGTTTAATTTTTTATTTTTCCAAAGGTATAGAGTGGTAGTAGCCACCTCCATCATGGAAGAGGGCATTGATTTCCAGTCCCTACAGCTGGTTGTGTCCATGAATCCACCTACCAGCCACAGGGCGTTGGTGCAGATCCGTGGCCGCGCTCGGCGTAGGGGAAGCCACTTTGTCATCCTGTGTAGCAGTCAGGATGAAATCAACAAACTTAACCAACTGCAGGTTCAAGAAGAGAATATGAAGACAGCTGCTCAAAAGTGTGTTGCTGAGGACCAAAGCAGAGCTTCATAAGTAGTTGATTAGAAAATTACGAGCTGACCCGCGGCGTATCATATGCCGCTATTTAGTTGTTTTATTTTCTACTTTTCAGTAATTCATAATTTGTGAATTCGACAGTACCAACGCTGCCACTGAAAATATTTGCTTTAAAACACTATCAAGGACGATAACCCCCCTCCTTTCCCCTGCTCACCAGACCATGTAGGGGTGGAGGTAGTAGAGTGCACTTACAGCTTGGTGTTTTCTAGCGTCTCCAAGAAGAGAATTATATATATAGATGTGTGGCACTACTAATTTTTTTTTTACTTTTGATCAGAAGTAAAAATATACATTTATATATATTTAATATATTTTATTTCACTGTAAACTTAAGGATTATTGACGAATATTTAACATTTTCTTAAATTAAATACTATTGCTTATTAGCCAGTTTGTGAATGGGAAAATATTTTCTTTCTAATCTAATTATTTAATACACTAATATTTTTGTTTTAAAAATAATTACTAATCACCTTTAGGGCAGGAAGATTTTTTTCTTGAAATTTAAAGCAATTTTATGTATTTATATTGATTATTGTTTTGATAAGGAAAACCATAAAATGAGACATGAATCATTAACAATTATTTTAATAGTTTACCATGAGTGTGTTTGGCATGTATTGGAACGAAGAATTTGATTGAGAGAACAGGGTTAATGAAGGAGGTATAAATTAAGCCAATTAGAAACCTGTTCAACTTTTAAAGCTCTGAATTAACTGATAAAAATTATAATTCATTTTTAACAGGTTTATGATTTTAAAAAAAAGTAGTAGCACAGTCAACACATTTTTAGGTAATTAACTAAAGTAAATGATTAATCTTTCATGACTTGTGTTATGGAATTCTCTTGCAAATTTCAGGATGTGCTAATTGATTTCAAGAATTGTTTCATTTATTGTGTGTGTATTTTTAAAAGTAAATTTTAAATAGATGAAGCCAGCAAAAAATTGTTTACTCTGTGCTAATAGTATGCATTTGTGAGTTATTAACACAAATTTTGTTCTATTTCAGCTTTGCTTTTTTTCTCACAAAATGTGAATAAAAAATATTTTTTTTAGTGTTTTTACTGCCCATTCAATGCTGAGTAATTAGCTTAATGAAAATGCTAACTTAAGTTGGCTGGATATCATATAATATAATATTAATATATAAAGACATCATTATTTGGTTAATTGCATTAAAAAGTTTTGTTTTATATAACTTTTACCTATAAATCTGTATTCTTTAATTATCATTTTCAAGTCTTACATTTTTATGTAGGTTTAATTTTTTTCTAATAATCAAGTTTTGTGATATTATTCTATACATTACATAGTGAAATTTTTTATCCATATATTTTGTTTTTGATAAATTTCAGTCATTATTCTAGTCCTGACTTGTAGTTATATCTTTGGTTGCTTTATAATCAAGTTTAAAAATAAAACCTAAAATGAACTTTACTGGAAAAAAATAATTCGTACCACCGGTGTTTATCTCTTGTAAGGATGGTTTAAATTATATTCCTAACATAATTATTAAAACTTGGGTGTATGGTTTTTTTTTACCCATTACCACATTTGTTTTCAATTTTTTGAAGTATAAATTTAAGTTATATTATTAATTATAATTGCAAAATGTATGCACTTTAATTAATTATAATGTAACATAGTGGACTGTGATACATGAATTATCAACCCTTATGTAAACTACATTATTTGAATAATAAAATCTGATTTGGACTAATGGGAAAATTGTCCTATCAAATTTGTATAATTGTAACTTATTTCATTTATGTTTCTGCATGTTTTATATTGAAACATAAGGTTTCAGATAGCAACATTTCAAAAAACTTTTTGGGCAAGAATGTTAATAAAATAGGTAGGTCACAAAAACGTCCATTTGCTTTATCTCTCTAATCATCATTAACCCAAGTCAAGACAATTGAGATAGAAACCAGCTGGCAACAGCATCCTGTTTTTGTTGTTTATTAGCTGAACAACAAATCCTGATCCTATTTTAATGAAGAACTATAATTTGCCAGTTTTTTCCTCTAATGTTTGTCCCACTTTAGTCCTTTGTTTCTATTGTCAGTCCTCCATCACACACTACAGATTAATTAATGCCCTGGGTGAGGGCAGCTCAATAGATGCCCTAAGTGGAGGCAGTTCAGTGAATGTCTCTAGACTCTAGGTGTAAGAAGTTCATTGAATGGAGACTAAAATCATGTAGAATAATAGCTTGAATACAAAAAAAAAAACAACACATCATGTTCACTGTATTCCATTGAATGTATTCATCTCTATTTTCTCTAACACAGAACATGTCAAACTTAAGTCTAAGCATTCCATCATGGCCTTTCTACAAGTAACCTACAAGCATTTTCCTATGACTAAAAAAACATAACCGTAAAATTAAGAGTCACCAGACATCTTGTTCCTGGGCTTACCCCACCTTTTAATGAGAAATAACCACCAATTAATAACACAATTTAAAATAAGACCTTTTCAAAAAGTGAGCCACATTTTAGAAAAAAAAAATCCTCTAATTGCTGTGTTAAAGTATTAAGTTATGGTCAAAGGATAAATGTGTTGTACAAGAATAAAGAAGTATGAAGTCATGAATATGTTATAAAAAAATAAGTGTGGCTTAACCTAATTACCAGCAGTACAAAAATAAAACCTAATACATAAACAACTGATAAAAAATAATATCATTTTATTAACAATCTCCCACCACTTGTCAACAACTAGATGACTGAATTTAGGCTACAGGACATTACCCCCCTGGATATTTCCCCACCGGACATTTCCCCCCCTGTATTTACCCCCCCCCCCCCCCCCCCCCCGGGAATTACCCCCCCCCCCCCGGGGAATTACCCCCCCCCCCCCCCCCCCTCTCAAGTTAAAATCCTGACTCTAACTAGAATTTTATACCTATATACTACTTTAATCCAAACCTTAAAAAAAGACCAAAACCTAAGCATCCACCTTAGCCTAAAACTTTACACAAAACCAAAGCTAGACACAACCCTAACCCTAGCTCTAACCCTAGACCTAACCCTAATCTTAACCCTAACCCTAAAACCTAACCCTAAACCTAACCCTAACCCTAGCCCTAACCCTAGCCCTAAACCTAACCCTAAACCTAGCCCTAACTCTAACCTTGTCCGGGGGGGGGGGGGGGCGCGGGTAATTGACAGGGGGGTAAGTGACAGGGGGGGGGGGGGTAATTACTCTGGGGGGTAATGTCCGGGGGGGGGGAATATCCGGGGAGGGGGGGGGTAATTGACAGGGGGGAAATGCCCTGTTCCCCTGAATTTAACCTAGAAAAATTGTTTTATCTACACACTTCAATAAATGTATACGCCTCACATAATAGCTTATGAGTGATTATAAAATCAACAATGAACACTAAAAATGATAAAACAATATAGGCGGAATGCTAGAAAAACATTATAACTTATAATTGACTTAAATTACGTATAACATAACTCCACACTTTGTTTTACAAGTGATGAACTTCACTTCCAGTTTATCATCAGAAAAAAACAAGTTTAAATGTTGTAGATGAAATCTGGAAAGCATGTTGCGATTTCAGGCAAAAAAATATGAATAACAGTTAGTTAGAGAATGCTATTATTTATCATAAATAATATTATTTATCTTAAACAATATTATTTATATAAATAATATAAATAACATTGCTTACTAGATTTATATTTATACAATCGGCTAAGTTAAAGTAAGAAATTTGTTTCACTGGAAAAATTTGCCTCCTATAAAAAAATTTGAAAAATAATATTTTTATTTAAACTCTTTGAGTTAAAATTTGGAAAAATAGTTTAGTAACATGTGCTTTTTGTTTTTTAATAAATAGTTGCAAACATTTTCAGTTTAAATTTATAACTTAAGTAGTTACTATGATAGTTGAGTACAAGTTAATTACAGGTAATCGGTAGTCTATCAGTGAGGACTGTAATTTGGAATATGATGTGGTTAGATATGTAACTTTCCTGCTTTACAGAAACGGTATATTTATGACATAAGTAATGTAGGAGATATAGTTTGTAAATAGGGGAGTTTGTGGTCTGAACTATAGGTGATTTTTTATATTTTCGACAGGGTGGTGATTTGCGAAGATAGGAGTCTAAGGTTAATAAGTAGCTAAATTAAAACTTATAAGACCTAAGTACTAGTCTTTACAGTATATAAAAATGAGAATATTAAAAGCTGTAAAGCAGTGAATCAGCAAAAATTGTTTGTTCAAAATGAAGTTAAAAAAAAAAAACTCATTGATGTCTCATTTTTTCCTGGCTTTTTTTTTTCTCTCGAGAAAAATATTAAATTTGGAGCAAATAATTTTTCACAATAAAAGAAAAAAAAGATATTAAAATTTGAAAAAAGCACATTTTTTTACACAAGTTGAAGATAAAACATCTCACTAAAAAAATCTAACATTGAAAGTACACAGAAAACTTTACATTTAAACACATTTGGGTTTAAGAGAAAAAAATGTGAATGCCCTGATAGACAAATAAAAATCTAAGATAGTATAAAAAGGAAACATGAACAGCCTTGCTAGGCGATCATATTCTTTTAATGAAAAAAAAAAAGAAATATGTAGAACTTTTACTCAAACAAATCTAACTAAAACATTAAGATCTATAACACTCACTAAAGGTAGGTTTTCATAATTACCAGCAGGTTTGAAATCAAACTGTCTCAGCTAAGTAACAAGCTTCTGATCTAGTTAACATTTATATTTTAACATATCACAAAAGTATTATGTCCAACAGTTCAACACATTTAAATATAAATATTATGAATAACATAGGGTTACAATAAGAAGGGAGACAACATTCCAAGTCATTTGTTCATTAATTTGATAATCTCCCTTTTGAGACCTACAGCTCCACTGTAGAGAATATATATATATATACACCTGTCAACTGGTTTGGAGCAAAAGAAAAATAATTATCAAGAGTGAAGACATTTCTATTACAGTAAACTGTAAAATGCCATTTGTGAAAAGAAAATCAGCCATATTACATCAATTAAAAATGCTATCTGCATTATACATTTTATTTGATTAAAAAAAACGCTGATATGTTTGCACAACAAACTAAAATACACGCAAAATTTATAATTGGTTTTATATCAATATTGCCTGCCTTTCTCAAATTTTTGGTACTAAAAAAATGTTTCATTACTAACACCTTGATATTCATTCTTAAAATGTTTCAATTATTTAATAAAATAAAAAAACCAACTAAGACATGAATTTTCAACAATATGCTAAAAAAATTATATTTTCTTTAGTCCATCAGTGCTATTGCTTTTGTTTAAAATGTTTGAATTGCTAGCTTTTAACACATATAGCGGTTACACTATTAAATAATTGAAATGTAATGGATAAACTTAACTGCAGAACAAGCAAGCAAATAAGAAAAATCCACATGAACCTTTTTTTTGTCATGAGGTCGGATGACATTAATGTCAAGTGAAAGTGAGCAATGTCCGACCTTTTTGTTTAGCACCTGACCTGTAATGTTATGTACATACCTGGCTTTTTTGTTAGTACACTCTCTGTACACAATCACAGTCAACACAAATATTAACTCATCATAAACTTTAAAAAAAAATTAGGGGAGATTTTTTATACGTGTCCGATAATAGAATCTTCTTTAAAAAAGGGGTGTAAGGTTACTGGTAGTTAACTAAATAATACACACATTGTTGGCTCATGTCAATGCTAACCCTGTCCGTAACCCTAACCCTAGTCCTACCCGAATTTCTAACCATAAAATTAGTCGAGATTACAATACTACTAACAACCCAACACACCTATTTTATGGAAGAGTCTATTATCGGACATCGGTATCTAACATTATCCAAAATGATATATAAAGTTACTTAAAGGAATAATTGATCTATTAAAAAAGAAAGTTTTAAGCAAACTGGAATTCAAGTGCTGGCAAAGTATATTGTAAGTTTTATAAAGATTTTTAAAAACATCAATCTGTAATTTAAAAAAAAAAACGTTTTTCTAAAAACATTAAGCAAATAAAAGCAGCTCCTTTATTAACAAGTGTGAGGAATTTAGCTAATTTTAAAATGCAGAAAAATTATTATTTATCAAAAAGGGAAATAACTGCAATTTAGTAGTCATCTGGGCCTAACCAGAATATTCATGTTCTGGCAAAGACTTAGCATGAGTAGTTTAGCCAATCACCATCTTAGATGCTAAAAACTCCTTTATCACAGGGGTATTGGCATACAATAATTTATAAAAGAAACCAGCTAACTTTTCCAAATTTCCACAAAGGGAATTTAAATACACTAACAATTATAACTTATTTTAATAGCTCTTTACATTGAAATACACTTGAAAATATGTTCATTCTAATGTCATTAGTTGCAGAAAAAAAAACTAAATATAATTAATGGATGGAACATTCTGAATAATCTCTAACATATAACTAAATTTAAAAAAAATAATGTCATTAGTTGCTCATTAACAGTTTTCATTCCACACCAAATGTACACAAAACTACTGCAGTGGAACTGCTGTTTGCCTTCCAATTGGTCCAAGCTAACATCCATGACACAGAAGACTATTCTAATGTCAACATTACATCTAATATTGAATTGACAAACAGCAATATGACTAGTGAAACATCACATTAAAGGCTACTAAAAACCAACTAATGTTCAAAGTTACATCAACGGGCTGTTTAAAAGATTAAACAATGACAGGTGCAATTCCTTGCAACAAATCTTAGCCTATCTGATTTACTACATCAGTCTATTTGAGGTTTTACAGCATTGTAAAATCGACTTAGCATTAATACTTATACCTCATCACAGAAAAAGGTGACTGAATTCCATCCTGTAATGATGTATTAGGACACATAAATGACAAACTTAAATTATTGCAACGTTGTCAGGGTGAATAATTTAGACGGGTCGTTTAGGGACGGGTGGGGGAATGCCACCCCTGTTAGGAACAGGAGGGGGGATGACGGGGGCTTCTCTAGGAGGTGGGGGAGGGGCTAAGTTAGGAACAGGTTGTGTTGGTAAATGGGGTAGCAGCCCCACACCCACAGGAAGAGGCGGGGGGCTCATGTTAGGGGCAGACTGAAGAAATGATGGTTCTGAACTAGATGGGCTTGTGGCGTTAGACAAAGGCTCTGTGTTTAAAGGGAGGTTATTTCGCAGGTTACTAGTGTCAAAAGGATCAAATGTGTTCTGTATATTGTTAGTACTAAATGGATCTGTTGTATGTGTTTTAAATGGATCGTTAAATGAGTCAGTACTAAATGGGTCAGCGAAGTTATTTTTTTCTGAAGTTGATGGTACGTTGGCGTAAAAAGGGTCACGAGGTTTAGAACCTTGAAAAGCTGGTTGTAGCCTAGCGTAGCTTGTGTCGAAGGGGTCCGGTTCAAACTTATCTACATCAACCATGCTGTTTTCTCTGTCTAGAATGTGGGAGGTGGAACTAATATTTGATGTAGTCACAAATGGATCCTGGGAGTTTTGGAATGGTGTATGGCTTGGCGAGCCCCTGGAGGGTCTGGCTGGTGGTGTGGGGACAGGATTGGGTGGTAGTTTCGGGGCAGCAACAGGGTGCGATGTCGGAGGTGGGGGAGCTGGTCTGGCTGCTACTGGTATGGGCATGGGCATGACTAAAACACTACCTGGTCTCTTTAATGGGGATGGAGGCGTAGTGAGTGATTGTTCGGGGTTCGGCGCGACAAACGCGCTTTGTACGTCACGCCGTGGGGCGGGTCGAGGTCTGACAACATCAGCGGAGACGGATGCAGCGTTCTCTGTGGGAGATCCGTTCAGGTTCTTGTCGATGCTGCGGCTCCTGGGCACTGGGTGAGGTTGTTCCGGAGGTTTTGTGAAAGCAGCGTCCCCCACATCTTGAGATGTTTTACTTCGTGGCACAGACTTTGGTGCCAGTTGGTTCAAACCTAGAATACAAATACAGAAAGCTGTAAAGTGATATTACAATATATATACATATATATATATATACACATATATATATATATATATATATATATATATATATATATATATATATATATATATATATATAAATAAATAAATAAATAAATATATATATACATATACACTCAAAGGATAAAACAGGTTATATAGAGATAGATATATAGAGCCCTGGTACAGAACTTCCCATTTGTTTGCTAGAACTCTTTAGACAATTAAAAATAAAATATCACACAGCTCCCATGGATGTCTACTAAGTATGTTTCCCCGGTGATTTGTGATGATAAATAGAATCTACCAGTGAAATTTACTATCAGATTGCCCAACCACACCAACAATGATTTATCACTTAGACCAATCATATCATGATAATATCTAACCTATTTTTCTTGTTCCTAAAAAGGTATGGAACTAGAAACAAAAGTTGTGAAACTATTTATTTTGTGAATGATTCGTTAGCTTCCACCTTCCACTCATGTCAACTTTCAGCCACCTCACCTGCACTGAGGTTAGTCTCAGACTTGGATGGCACCATGGGTAGAGGCAGCGCCACGCTATCAGTTGGGGCAGATGTCTGATCACCGGTCAGGAGCTTCTGGATCAGTGCCTGCGCCTCCTCAATACTTGACGCATGGCCTTGGTGAGTCACATTGGTTGGTCTGCTGATCTGGCCAATCTGTCAACAAATAGGGAGTAAAATGGTTTTATGAGCTTCTGTTTGGGTTGCCAGGTAAAATTTTCATTTTCAACCAAATGCCAGGTAATGTAGTTACAAGAAGTTGCCAGGTAAAATTTTCATCAAGTATTCCTGGTATTCTAGTTTACATAGCTAGGTACAAATTTCAACCACATGCTAGGTAATGTTTACATCTAGTTGCCAGGTAAAATTTTCATCAAGTTTCCTGGTATTCTAGTTGGCATAGCCAGGTAAACATTTCAACCAAATGCCAGGTAATGTTTACAAGAAGTTGCCAGGTAAAATTTTCATCAAGTTTCCTGGTATTCTAGTCGACTGATAGCTAGGTACAAATTTCAACCACATGCCAGGTAATGTTTACATCTAGTTGCCAGGTATTCTATTCTGCTCAACTAAGTGCCAGTTAATTTATTAAACTAAGTGCCAGCTAATCTCAACAAGTAGCTGTTTTATTATTATTGAAATTGGTAATTTTAATAAATATTTTATAATTTTATATTACAAACAGGAAAAAAACATCAGGCAATTACAAAATTTATACCATGAATTTCATAAAAAACATTTTCTACACACATGAACTTGCAATTTTGAAGGATTAAAAACTTGGAATGTCAACTCAAGAAATAATGTACAATTAGACTGGAGAACAGTATCAATGAAATACCTTAGTTTGAGGTTTCTTGATTTTATTGACAGGAGCTGGTCTCAATGGTTGTCTTATCTTTGGTGGGGGACTAGCCACATGTTTTTCTGCACCTTTACATCAAGAAGGTTTTTAAATCAGAAAACAGAATTTTTATCTGCAATACTTCTTCATTTTTGATGAAAATGTATATAAGAAAAAGTTTCATTAAATTACAGCATGAAGTAAGGAAAAAAATAATTTGTGTCACCTGCTTGAGAAAATGAATTAGGAACAGGTGAAGGGCGGGGTGGTCCTCCTGGTGGCCTCTGGGGTGGGGGTGGTTTAGCTGGAGGGGCACTGGGGCGTGCTGGGGGTTGTTTCTAGGGTGTGAAAAAAAACCATTCAAGCATTATTTAAAGCACAAATTATTCAATAGTATTAAACTTGGTAATATACTTATTCTTATTGTATCCAGGTTGTGAAAAACAAACATACATGAATTAATTACAGCACAAAAATAACAATATTGGTCAGTAGATTAAATATTCTTAAAAAATAGACTATAAGGAATTTTTAAAACAAGATCCCATGTGGAAGCAAAGAAAAGTCTCTCAATTCTGCTAAGTTCCTGTTTTTAATCTTTCCCTTCCATTCTGTTGCTCTTAAGGAGATTCTGACCTATCCAGGGCCAGTTGGCAATAAGAGCTAATTAGTTGTTAATTATAGTGGTCATGAAGACCAGTTGTGAATTGAGTCTTCTAAATTTGCTTGTTATAATACACGTCTGCACTGCATACTGCCTTGGTGTTTATTTATTCAGCATACATACCTTAGTTTAACTATTTTAAACATATATTCTACAATTTGTTGACAAAGCATTATGTACCATAATTTTTGTGTTGTAACATTTGTACCATCATTTTGTAAATTTAAAAAATATTTACCATAATTTTTTTACAAAAAATGAATTAATAATAAAGCCATAATTTTTTGTTTAGAGAATATATGTACCATATTTTTGTGTACTTACTTCAAGAGATAGCGATGCCCTGACAACATTTGTGTACTTACTTCAAGAGATGGCGATGCCCTGACAAACACTGCTGCCTCTTGTCTGATGACTTGGTTGTTGTCAGCACTGGCAGAGGATGGCTGAGCAGCTGGAGGTCTCGGGGGTCTGGGTGGGTTCACAGGGGGTCCACCTGGGATATCTCCAGCTGGTGGGACTGGGCTTGGGTTGCCTTAAACAAACACAAGAATTTCAAAATTATTTAAAATCTTAACAAATCACTGAAAATGGATGTATTAGAATCTGGTTTCGCTCAATAAAGCCTATAAAATAATAACAATTTGAACAAACATTAGTGTTTTATGTTATGCAAATGAGTTACGTCTGATGCAACAACTGATTCATTTCTCAAGTTTCTTTAGAAATATAAAATATTTTAAAAAATAACACTTACTTTATGAATGTTTAAGACAAAGTATACTTAAATTAAGAATAAATATAATGATAAAATTTCTATTAAAGCTGATTTATTACCAGTGCGAAAATCCGAACCTAAAAATTTCTTTTTTAAAAAATGAGGCTGTCATTACACAAGTGTAAAAACTATCAAACTATGTTGATCTGTTAACATTCAATTATCCTCCAGTGAATGTAGATAGGTAACTAAACAAGCTGAAAACTTACTTAAAGGCGTGCTAGTTCCTGAGGCAGGGGTGACAAGACCTTGTAGAGCATTTTCTACCTCAGCATCTTCAGCATCATCCCCATCTGTTACAGCACAGACATTGTTTTTTGGTTACAATCATGGTACAGTGTTTTTGGTTACAATCATGGTACATTGTTTTTGGTTACAATCATGGTACATTGTTTTTGGTTACAATCATGGTACATTGTTTTTGGTTACAATCATGGTACAGTGTTTTTGGTTACAATCATGGTACATTGTTTTTGGTTACAATCATGGTACATTGTTTTTGGTTACAATCATGGTACAGTGTTTTTGGTTACAATCATGGTGCAGTGTTTTTGGTTACAATCATGGTACATTGTTTTTGGTTACAATCATGGTGCAGTGTTTTTGGTTACAATCATGGTACATTGTTTTTGGTTACAATCACGGTACATTGTTTTTGGTTACAATCATGGTACATTGTTTTTGGTTACAATCATGGTACATTGTTTTTGGTTACAATCATGGTGCATTGTTTTTTGGTTACAATCATGGTGCATTGTTTTTTGGTTACAATCATGGTACATTGTTTTTGGTTACAATCATGGTACATTGTTTTTGGTTAAAATCATGGTACATTATTTTTTGGTTACAATCATGGTACGGTGTTTTTGGTTACAATCATGGTACATTGTTTTTGGTTACAATCATGGTACATTGTTTTTGGTTACAATCATGGTACATTGGGTTTGGTTACAATCATGGTACATTGGTATTGGTTACAATAATGATACATTGGTTTTGGTTACAATCATGGTACATTGTTTTTGGTTACAATCATGGTACATTGTTTTTGCTTACAATCATGGTACATTGTTTTTGGTTACAATCATGGTACATTGTTTCTGAGCTTTTGCTGGATTGCATTTGATATATTAAAAACATAACAAATCTATCAATGCTATAATTTATGGGACATCGTGGCCTAAGCGGTAGAGCACTAGTATGCTGACACGAAAGCCTTGAATTCGAATCCGGGTCCAAGTAAAAAAAAAACATATTTGAGTCCACCCGAGATTATGTGTACCTAACTCATGTTGGAGAGAGTAAAGTCGGCTGGACAAAGTGCTGACCACACCTTCCCTTCATATGCCAAGGTCAAGAAACATGAACTCATCTTCCCAATGGATCACTAGGTCTAAAGAGGATTCTTTAATTTTTTTTAATGTCATAATTCTTAGAATAAATAGAGCCTTCAATCAAGGCATTTTAAATCCATATCATTCAATAATTACAATGATAAAACATTAAGTTTAAATATGTAACATCATGTAATAAAAACAGCAACAAACAAACAAACAGCAAGTATTTGCATTACTTTTACGTTAGTAAATTAAAAAAAAAGTAAAATAAATTTTCAATAAATTGGTATGGAATTCAAAAAACTACTCAACAACTGCGTGTTCAATAGTTTAAATAACCAAATACCTTCATCAATGTCATACTCCATAGATGGCACACTGAAGTCATCTCCCAGGAGAGAGTTAGTAAACTGATTGTAGAGGGCACCAGTGTTGCTGGAACACAAGTTCAGTTCCTTTTCAATCTCCCCCTTCCACTCTGTCGTCCTGAGGGCAACCTTGACCTGAGTTCCACCAAACTGGAAAAAATTTTAAAAATGAAGAAAATTTTAAATAGTTCATGGAAATGGGTGGTCCCACCTACAAGCTTATAAATTTACTTAGAACTCTATGCTTTAAATTTAAAAAAAAAATTGTAACATATTTTCAATACTACAAAAAAAAAAAAAAAAAAAAAAAAAAAAAAAAAAAAAACCTTAATGAATTTAAAGAAACTGATATACAAAGAGTACTCAGTAGCGAGTCACACATACATTCTTTAGTAGCTATGACACCAATAGTAATTATTTTTCAAACCAAACTTCTAACTCCAACCCACATTGTATGTCTAAAAGGGATTTGGCTAATAAATAAAAGCAAAAATAAACTCAAAAAATATTTCCAAATGTTTGAATTGTTTTCATATATTGTCCAAAAAACAACCAAATTAAAACCCAATAACAGTTTTGATAAAAAATTCAGGTTTATAATTTAAAAAAAATACATGAATTACTTCAATCATATTGAAGAATTTCTTAATGTAAAAAAAATTAAAAGAACATAGGGGTCGGCTTGGTCGAGTCGGTAACGCTCATGGCTGCTAAACCAATAACTCTCGAGTTTGAACCCTCGGGCAGATGAGGCTCGTTAGCTGGGGACAGCCACTCTTCTTAGAGAGACAACTCCAAAATAAAAAAACTGCTGCCTTGTTGTTTTTTCTTGGTTGGATAAAGGCTATGGAATCAAATCCAAAAAGAAAAGCAGGCTGATATCAGAGTCAATGGTCTCAATGGCCAGTTGGCACATATACTTAATTGTGTTGGAGGGGAAAACTTCCAACACTAAAATTAAAAACGAAGAAGAAGAAGAAAAGAACATGATAGCAAAAAAAGTCAGGGGAACTACCTCCTGCTGATCAAACTGTAGAGCCTCTAGTGCATATTGTCCTTGTTGGTACAGCACCCACATGTCAACACCCACAAACCTGGGGAAAAGGTCAAGGTTAGATTTCATGGTCACACAATTCTTAACAATACATACAGACATTTCAAATGTTTTTAATGTGAAATTCACACTATCCACTTTTACATGACTAGCTGACATTGTATACATAACATTTTCAAATCTTTACCTAATGTCAACAATGCTAGACGAAAAATAAAATTACTTTAAAACAGCTAATTAAAATACTTTACTTGATAATAAGAATACTTCACTTGCCAATTAAAATACTTTACTTGATAATAAGAATACTTCACTTTCCAAATAAAATACTTTAAAACTTGGCAATAAGAATACCTCACTTGCCAATTAAAATATTTTACTTGACAGTAAGAATACTTCACTTGCCAATTAAACTACTTTACCAAACAAATATATTAATTTACCTGACAATAACGATCTCCCCCACTTCGTTAAACCTCTCCACTATAGCATTGACAGCCTCGTGCCAATTAAACTACTTTACCTAAAAATATATTAATTTACCTGACAATAACGATCTCCCCCACTTCGTTAAACCTCTCCACTATAGCATTGACGGCCTCGTCAAACAGCTCTTGCCAATTAAACTACTTTACCTAGCAAATATATTAATTTACCTGACAATAACGATCTCCCCCACTTCGTTAAACCTCTCCACTATAGCATTGACAGCCTCGTGCCAATTAAACTACTTTACGTAACAAATAAATTAATTTACCTGACAATAACTATCTCCCCCACTTCGTTAAACCTCTCCACTATAGCATTGACAGCCTCGTGCCAATTAAACTACTTTACCTAAAAATATATTAATTTACCTGACAATAACGATCTCCCCCACTTCGTTAAACCTCTCCACTATAGCATTGACGGCCTCGTCAAACAGCTCTTGCCAATTAAACTACTTTACCTAGCAAATATATTAATTTACCTGACAATAACGATCTCCCCCACTTCGTTAAACCTCTCCACTATAGCATTGACAGCCTCGTGCCAATTAAACTACTTTACGTAACAAATAAATTAATTTACCTGACAATAACGATCTCCCCCACTTCGTTAAACCTCTCCACTATAGCATTGACAGCCTCGTGCCAATTAAACTACTTTACCTAACAAATATATTAATTTACCTGACAATAACGATCTCCCCCACTTCGTTAAACCTCTCCACTATAGCATTTACGGCCTCGTCAGACAGCTCTTGCCCTGAGGTGGAGGATATGATCACAGTGCCATCAGGTGGGCCCTGCTCCTCTACCACCTTCTGAAGGGTGGTGTTTTTCTTCTCCTCGTCCACCACTAGAGTGTCTACATCAAACAGCCCAAGTACAGGCCTAAAACCAAACAGGTTTGTAGAGTTAATTTTGGTTTTTTGTTTCATAAATATTTCGTTAAAATAAATTGGCAGTTTTTTATTTGTTTTATAATCTGGAAGCATTTTTAAACTTTTTAACAATTATTTTCCAGATGGTTTTTTTTTTAAACTGCTATTACTTACCTGTGATCAGAAGTCCTAAGTTCAGCTCTCCCATACAGCAGAAGTTTCACCTGTGCCAAAGTCATATCATTTGTTTCATCTGAAATAAATACATACTTTTTAGAAAACCTTTTAGGGTGCAATAATTATCTAAAGTTAACAGCTTAACAGTTTTTTAAATCAGGCCTACTGCTGATGAAATAATAATTTTCTGAGACAAAAATTTAGTTACTTTCCAATTTTATCTTTAAAGAAATAAAAAACAAAATTTTAAAGATATCTTTAATCAACAGAAATAAGAAGCCATACTTATTTTATTTATACTCAAAAGCGGGTGGGATAATCAAATATATCTAAATAATTAAAAATTTTAAACTATATTGCAAGACTATTGACAAGTACCTACATCTGAATTCAAGCCACCGTTTCTATAAATAGAAAAATAGAAATCAATTATCTACCTTCTGAGTCACGAACAACCTTGACCTTCCACAAAATTCTGTCTGTCCAGGCAGGGGTGCGGCTCTTATCACTTGTGTCATAGTCGTCACTAAAAGTGTCATACTTGTAAGTGGGGGCAAAATTTAACCGACCCTCACTGAATCCTTGGAAACACTGTTCATTGTAAAATTTAATAAGGATAATGGATGCTGCAATATGGTTTAGGTAAGTCTTTACAAAATTTTCACCATTCTCAAGTATTAAAAACTTGAATATTTGTCTAAATATTCTAAAAAAGAGCTTAGGTTTAAGAATTAGCAACTGTTTTAATAGAGAATAAATATAATCTGTAGTGGCTGTAAGTTTTAGATGAATTAAACTTTGCCACTTAATTAGAACATAGCTATGCAGAGTTAAGCAGACTGATGCAATGACCCTGCACCCCCTAATTATACCAATGGATGAGAGTCCACACTTTGTTTGACAGTTGATTCATCTCTTGCAAGGCTCCCAGGTTCATTGCACCTCCCACTTGCACACCCTAGTTACGCCACTAGATATAATGCTAATATTATCAACAGCTCTTTAGTTAGTAAGTTGATTCATTTCCTGCAAGCCAGCCAGTATCACAGGCTACTCAACCTTTCATTTCATCATTGACTGCCCCAATGTAACACCCCCCCCCCTCCCACCCCCTAGTTACGCCACTTGGTGTAATTCTTACATTATTAACAGCTCATTGATTATTCAGCTGGTCCACCTCCTGCAAGGCCCCCCAGTTCTCACAGGCCACTAAGCATTTCACTTCATCATTGACTGCCCAAACGTGACCCCCCCCCCCCCCCCCCCCACACACACACAGATCATTGGTTAGTCAGCTGATCCATCTCCTGCAAGGCCCTACCAGTTCTCACAGACCACTAAACCTTTCATTTCACCACAGACTGTCCCAATGTAACACCCCCCCACACCCCCTAGTTACACCACTAGATGCAAGTCTTACATTATTAACAGATTGTTGGTTAGTCAGCTGATAAATCTCCTGCAAGGCCCTACCAGTTTTCACAAGCCACTAAATCTTTCATTTCACCATTGACTGCCAAATGTGACACCCCCCTGCTCCCCCTTACATTATTAGCAGCTCGTTGGTTATTCAGCTGGTCTACCTCCTGCAAGGCCCCCCAGTTTTCACAGGCCACTAAGCCTTTCACTTCATCATTGACTGCCACTGCAAGGTCTCCTTTCAGGCTACTAAGTCTTTCACTTTATCACTGACTGCCCCAATGTGACACACCCCCCACACCCCCTAGTTACGCCACTGGATGCAAGTCTTACATTATTAACAGCTCGTTGGTTATTCAGCTGGTCCACCTCCTGCAAGGCCCCCCAGTTCTCACAGGCCACTAAGCCTTTCACTTCATCATTGCTCAGATCAATGCGGTAGTTGAAGTCCCCGCACCAGAAGACACAGTCATGGGATAGAATGGTTCGTCCCTATAAATACAATTGCAGTTTATAAGTACAAAATTTAAAAATCTGAAATTTTTAAAAATTAACAAAAAAATAAAACTGAATATCTAACATTTAGATACAAGCACAACCTATTTTTGTTCAATTTATTAAATTCCCTCAAGATAATTAAACAAGAACATCTTTTCCATACACTTATTTAAAATAACATATAATTTCTTCACTTGTTAATATATACATACACAAATTTTACATTATGACAATGCTGATATATGGTAAACATCATGGCGGAGATAACTTTAAAGGAATTTGAGAAGTAAATAGGTTCATTAGTAATGCAGTAGTACAAGCAGTAAAATAAAATTATTAACATTAAAGAATTGGAATCAGCACTGAAGCTTAAAAATCACAGTACAGAGAGCCTTTTCCTTAATCATGCTCAGATTAATGAACTGGTTTTAAACCTAAATGCTACTAAAATTATTAAAAAATAAACTAATTGATAAGCTTCACTAAGATTTAGATTAGCAAAATCATCTTTTGCATCAGTCCTGTATGTTTGTCTACTCTCCAAAATACTTGTAAGGCCAAGGGAGACATGGAGGTGCACAGCGGGGAAGCAGCTGACAGAGGCAGGACTGTCATGGGGGACTGCCAGGTAGCAGCTGACAGAGGCAGGACTGTCATGGGGGACTGCCAGGAAGCAGCTGGCAGAGGCAGGACTGTCATGGGGGACTGCCAGGAAGCAGCTGGCAGAGGCAGGACTGTCATGGGGGACTGCCAGGTAGCAGCTGGCAGAGGCAGGACTGTCATGGGGGACTGCCAGAAAGCAGCTGGCAGAGGCAGGACTGTCATGGGGGACTGCCAGGAAGCAGCTGGCAGAGGCAGGACTGTCATGGGGGACTGCCAGGAAAATTACAGGAGATTGACAAAAGTGGAGGGAGCTTTCTGTGGTGGCCACATATGTCTTGGGCACAAAAAGGAAAAGATGATGATTGTTACAGTTATAATCTTCAGGGTTGAGGTTCTAATCCCTGCTGTCTGGCAATTATTATAAAATAATTATTGCCTTTTTAAAAAACTGTGAGAGGGGTAATTGACAGTGCAGGTAAACTCCCTAAGAATACATAATCAGTTGTTTTAATTTAACAAGTCTTGACCTAATTGTCCTTCAGAAGTAAACATGCCAAAGAGATTCACTAAAAGAAAGGAAATTTAAAAAACTACATAGAGAGGAAGTTATAAAAATCTACATAAGCACTACAGTATTGACTACAGAAATGAAAACAAAAATCAAAAGCATTTAATCATCCCTTTGAGTATTATGTGTATTTCTCCTAGAAAGCATGAAAAAAAATGTCTAAGTATATGAAGTTTTCCATTCAAATAGATTGATAGACAATGTTATTTTACAAAGTAATATATATTTATAACACAGAAGAGGTATTGAATTTAAGTATAGCAAATAATAAACAATCAAAAGCTTTTGTTTTTAATTAACCCTTTATAACATAGTAAATGTTGTACCAGTGTTTTTGGTTTTCACAGATATGTAAAGAAATGTTTTCTTCAGGGATCCAAGGGAGATAAAAATAGATTATTAAACTACAACCTTCCCCCCCCCCCCCCCCCCCACCACCACTTGTGCTTACTTACAGATGTATTTGCTACAGAATCAATTCAGATTGTTTCCAATCCAACTTAGCTAAAAAAAAAATTCTCCTAATTTTATTTCTCTAGAGCTATGGTAAGTATTTGTTTCTATACTGAACACACCATCCTATTAAAAGACTTGTTTTAGCCCACGTTTGTGTTTCTCATAAGATTTCAAAGAACCCCTACAGTCAAGTTATGTTACTTAGTGCTATAATAATTTGTATGTAAAAAAAAAAAAGCCCTAAGAAAAAAAAACTATGTTAGTTATTAAATACACTAAATAAGTATAAAGTAGGTAGAACAAAAACAAATGATATATCTAGAGAGCAGACAAGGCTTGAGTAATTTAATAATTTTTATGACTAAATTTTAAATGAAAATTTCAGTTCATAAAAAAAAAAAATCATGAGCATGGTTAATATTAAAAGTATTTTTTAAAGCAATTTTGCAAATTTCATTGTGTGGTTGGCTATATCTCCCAGAAATTAAATCAACTGAATATTTCATCAGGGCACTGTCATAAAACTGATATAAGTTATGACTAAACTAAGAGAGAGAGAGATAAAGAGAGAGAGAATGTGTGAGCAGGAGAGAGATACATACAAATCTTTTTGTCCTAATGCATTAAAAAATAAAAGTGATCTGAAATGTAGACATCTATATCTAAGGGGTTAATAAAGCTTTATGTTTTTAAAATTTCAAATATTTTAATTCAAAACACTGTCAAACAAATATTATTTTAAAGAATAAAATAAAAGAATTCTAATACTAATTGTATTTCTTAGCAGCCACCAAACAACCTCCCCTACTTGAAATTCTACACAAATTAAAAGGGGTCATCCATTTATGACGTCCACAATTGTTTTTGGATTTTGGACCCCCCCTGTCCACAAAAAATCCACTTACTTCCCTTATAAAAGTCCATTCGCGTCAGCAAAATTCAATTTTTTTGGACCCCCCCCCCCCGACCCGTGTGGACGTCGTAAATGGATGACAACAAAATTACTTTGAATATTAAATAAAAGTAAACAATATTTGATAATTTACGCTAATAAAGTTAAGTAAATTTGGTTGTCAGTGTTTGAAGGACATAATGTATTGGTTGATTTAAGCCGGTGCAGGTACTACTTTCTTGGTTACCATCAGCCAATATACATTTCATTATTTTTTACCTTATGGCGATCATCCATAGACTAGGGAAATAATAAAAATGTATTTTAAAAGTATGTATTTCTACACCCTACCATATGTGGAGTTGTATTTTATACTTATATCATTATATTAGTGTCAACTATCAACAAGTTACATACCAAGTCACTAAATGATAGTGCTAAAAATTACAGCAAACAAAGATAAGGTATTTTACATTAACAAGAAGTAAACATTTTTCAATTATATTATTTGAATAGATTAAACAGGAAACCAATGTACAGAAATGAAAGAACAGAGAACTTGTGCACGCAGAAAGAAAATGGAAATTGCATCATGCTGAGAGGGCTGTTAATGTAATCGTCTATGATGATATGTTATAAAAACAATTTTTTTCTTTTCTAATATCTATCATAAAAATTTAAAAATGATTTTCATTCAGCAATTTGAACTTCAGAACTGTTATTAATTTAAAATATGTGATCAGATAAATTATAATTTAAGGCATAAACTAAAATACAAAGTTTAGACAAGACTTTTTCCTAGGATTGGTGTCTAGCTTAGTTATAAGAGTAAGTGTAGGAAAATCAGATGATCAGAAAGCAACTGGCAAACACTAATGTACAATTAATCACCATATAAACTTGTCTCTTTCATTTCAACTAGATTTATGTATATTTTGAATAACTAGTGTTCAAAATGACATTGACTATCACTGGTAACTAAATCTAAAAAAAATGACTATATTACACTTTCATGAATTATTATTTAATTATACTATTCAAGTTCTCATATTAAACATTGAGATAATAATTATAGCCAAAGGCACCCAAAACTTAGTTAACCTCTAAGTCCATTCACTGACACCACATCTTGCTATTAAATGTTGCAATCTTAATTTAATTCAACTAGCCAACCTGGACTGTATGCTGCAGATTTAAAACTATTCAAACTGAGTTAACAAAAATCAACAAACATTAAATAATTAATGTAACTTTCCCCCCATTATTTATTTAATCAATGCGTTTAATGTCATAGATGATGCAGCCAGAACGTGCAAGACCAGAATGATTTTAACACATGCCAGCAGATACCTACATGCAATGTTATTATTCACCTGCTCAATATTTAAACCAGATTCCAAGATTTATAGTTAAGCGCATTTTCACATATCCATAGTTAAACCCTGATCACAGTATCTATAGCTAAACCCAAATCTTGTATCGAAAGATCGCATGATCTATAGATAAAATTAGATCATATGATCTAAAGTTACACCTAGATCATATGATCAATAGATAAACCCACATCTTATGATCTAAAGATCACATGATGTATAGATAAATTAGATCATATGATCTATAGTTAAACCAAGAGCACATGATCCATAGATAAAAACCAGATCATATGATCTGTTGAAAAACCCAGATCATATTATCTATAAATAAAACCAGATCACATGATCTAGTTATGCAGATCACATGATACATTAAAAAACCCAGAGCACATGATGTATGGTTAAACCCATGCAGGGGGATTAATATAGATTTCACTCCTAAATGTATAAATAATATTTTAGTCAACAATCTGCTAACACAAACTAATCCCATTTATTTTAAATCAGCCTTTCTAGACATGCCACTTAAGCTTCATATTATTTTTTTTTAATTAGAAATACTTAAACTAAATAATTCAGTCACAAATATGTCATGCTGAAATTGTTTAAAACAACATTGAAAGCACAGAAGAAATAATGATTTATTAACATTTTATCTAAAACTTTTAGAACAGTAAAGTTTCGGATCATACATATACCTAGTATTATTAAAATGAAAATATTTTTATTATATGGATTATAGTGGGACTGCATTAAGAGTTACAAAACCAAATAACACCAATTATATGAAGACATTCTTGGGTAGTCTTTATTTGTCTGCATTATTTTTTTAAAATATTGATTTAATTAAGGGAAAAACATGCAAACTTGGATTAAATTTTTTAAATACCCACACGGCATATTTCCTGGAGATGAAATTAGCGAATGATGAAACAGATGAGGTTAATTAAAAAACATGATCTTACAAATGAATGAACAACCAGTACACATTTAGAACCTTGTATGAATTTACTAATGAATATACCTCTGTTAGACATTCAGAAACTTGAATAATAAAATGAATTTTAAAAAATTATAAAGTTAAAAATGAAAAAAAAAAAACTGTTAGATATTTTTTTAGACCCTTGTACAAGATAGTTAAAAAGTTTATTAAAAGTTAAAAGTTGAATAAAAATAAAACCATTTGATATTTGCAATCACCCGAATTAATAATTTATTACATTGACAATTATAATATATTAGAACTGTTAGATAATTTTTAGATCTTTATAAAAAAAATCTTTATTAAAAGTTGAATGAAAATAAAACCAATCACCAGAATTAATAACTCACAGAATTGTCAGTATTAATTTATTTTGTGTATAGAACTTAGAAAAAAACACTCACCATGGGGAAGGCCATTTTGCGGGTGATTTCTGTGTAGTCAGCATTGCGCTCGTTCACCTGGGACTGGCCGGCAGCAAGGTGGGCACACACAAAACATATGGAGGTGCTGTTCAGTAGGAGCCTGATAGCCACACCCCCTTTGTTGCCTGTGGCGCCACCTAGCCCAGTCTTTACTTTGTCAACAGCCACATCTCTGGAAAAGTAAATAAGTAAAGCTGAGTTTAAATATAATATTGGTTATCAACAATGACATTAAAAATATATCTTGATAAGTTAGGCTGGATTAGAATACATATTTGGTCAATAGCAGTAGTTTTATATTCACAGTTGGTCTTAGTAATTTACACACTATTACTTTACTGCTTTTCACAAACTAAGCACTATTCCAATATTTTATTTCACTGAATAAAAATTGACTTATTATATTTATTTGATTAAATATCAGACTGAACATTAGCTTAAAATTTAAAAACGTCTTTATTAATAGATGAGGTTCTAGCTTGTTTTAACATTTTTTACAAAAAAATCTGGACAGATGAAAATTCTAATTTTAGATTAAAGTAAATAGGATAGTGTGGTCAAGCGCTAAACTGCTAGCCCAAAGGTCTTGAGTTCAGGCAGCAGTTGTTTGATTTTGAAGTTTTCTCTCTTAGATGGGTTGCTGTCCCCACCTATAAAGCCTCATCTTCCCGGGGATTTGAACTTCAGTTACAGTTTAGCGACAATGAACTTTACTAAACCGACCACGCTGACCCTTAAAAGAATTGCCTGCGATACACTTACCTGATGAAAGGAGCCAGCTGTGGTCGCACAAAAACATAGAGAACAACCCCCACAAGCTGGATGCTGGTGACTATCACATACTTGTGGTCTCGGGAGATGGTCTTAATCACTTCTTTCTGCCATTCTCTGGCGTTGGTGGTACTTTAGATAGAAGGGAAATTTAAATTTAACAACAAATAGTTTTTAATATATGAGATGATCTTAGTCACTTCTTTCTGCCATTCTCTTGCATTGGTGGTATTTTAGATAGAAGGGAAATTAGAATTTAGTAACCAATTTAAACTAATTGTTAATATATGAGATGGTCTTAATCACTTCTTCCTGCCATTCTCTTGCATTGGTGGTACTTTAGATGAAAGGGAAATTAGAATTAAGTGACCAATTTAAACTAATTGTTAATATATGAGATGGTCTTAATCACTTCTTTCTGCCATTATCTTGCATTGGAGAAACTCAACACATGAACAAATTAAATCTATTTAGTAACTTGCTGTAAAAAAAACAACTTATTCCTAAAAACAAGTAACATTCTGAAAAGAAATTTTGAGTTTAGAGTAAAGACACAAATATTATTTTTATTTATATTTCTGTAAAAAACACATTAATAAAAGAAAATTCAACTAGCATTAATTTAGAAACAGAGTACAACTAATGTGTAAAATATGTATTAAGTCTATGTAAAAAATCTTAACCCTTGTTTGGGTTGTTGGGCACCACAGAGTGGTCTGTCTAGGGCTAATTGTCGCCGACTCCTCTCCATGCCTGACCACAGCCTGATGCCTCCATTTAGGTGGCTCGCCTTGGTCATGACCAAGTGGCCATTAATGTTTATGAACAACTGCGTCCTGGTCGGTGACCTTTACTAGAACCCCATAAGCCAAGTGATGCGGTGTTAGAATCAGTTGTTTAATTTTGGAGTTTTCTCTCCTAAATGGGTTGTTGTCCCCAGCTATAGAGCCTCATCTGCCCGGGGTACGAACTCGTGACTTTTTGATTTAGTAAAGTAGGTATATACATAAAGTCTAAAGAATAAAACTATGAAGTTACTACCTGACACTCATGATGTTGCTAGCATTCAAGTCAACAATTTCCTCAAAACCCACAGCGTAGATGTCAACAGGTTTATCATAGTCAACATCTTTCAGGTGAACACCTGGACAGAAGAGTTTTTTATGATATTTTATGTTAGAACATAACAATCAATTCATGACTTTAATACGCAGGACGGCACAAGTTGTGTTAATTTCAATTTTAAAATAAAATACAATTCCATTTAGTTCGGTACAATTTTAATGAGCATAAGCAGAAATAATCAGAGACTTTACTTAATCTTTGGGTGTGGAACTAAATAAAAAATGTAACCGCTATTCACAGACCAAAAGTGCTAATCTGTTACTTTTATAAAACCATTAGATGCTCAGTGGAAAAAAAAAAAATTCTAAGAAAATTCTTATTTTTACAGACTATAAAATAATACATTCGTTTTATATTTTCTACAAGACTCAAAAGAAATTAAAATCATTTAGTTATTTTCACGGACTGGATAAAAATGTCATCGATTTCTGGACTAAATTAAAAATGTTCAACTGAATCCTAAAGAAAAACCCAACAAGAAAAAGCTTACTCTGGTGTGTCTTGGGAGCATCAACCAGCCAATCAGCCAGAGACTGATGCTTGTAGGCTATGCTGCGTGTCATTTTCCCTCCGTTCACATTGTAGGTTCCTATGAACACCCGGTAGGTCTGTACCTTGGTGTACTCTTTGTAACACCTGGTCATAGCTCGTAGGATACTTTCTGAGGCTGAAAGGGAATAAAAGTGGAATAAATTATACTTTTTGACAGAAATTTAATAAGTAAAATGAGTTTTGAAAATACCTAATTAATCAGAATTTTAGATGAGCAGTAAATAATGCATGAAAACTGTAAAATGTAGGCAATTTAAAATTTATAGAAAATTAGCAGACTGATATTTAATTATAGATAAAAAGCATGAATGTAACCATAAATGTAGCTTTATGTAACTATCTATAAAGTTTCATAACAAACAAAAAAATATAACAAATGTTAAGTAATAGTATAGTTTAAAGAAAGTTTTATGGTCACCCAACATGTTAAAAATTTACAATTACATTTACTATTTTTAAACAGTTTAACGTCAGATTTAGATATAACAGATTTTTTTAATTCAAATTTTCATTATTAAAAATGTTTTAAGTCAGATTTACAGTATCACATACCATGTAAATATCTAGAACCAAGCAGCGCCCTGGCCCTATCAGACAGCGCCCCCTGTAAAGAGCTACCCATCAGCAAAACATCTATGGCTTCTTGCTTACTCCCATCTAGAAAATTGTTCTGGATTGTTCTTGTGGCTGACCGAGACGCATCAGAATACTAGAAGATTATAAATATCAATCTTTATTAATAATATCAGTAAAAAATATGATTATTTAAACACTTCATAAAAATATTTTTAGTCACTTAATTTAAAATATTATAAGCCTATACATTGAGTTTTATTTAATTACTGTAAAAATAATTTTTTTTTTAAATTTTAAGATCAATTACTACATGCCATAAAGTCATTTTTAAAAAAAAATTATAATTTAATAATTAAAACAAATATAATTAACTTAATTATAACAAAAATATATGTTTTCTTAGTTTTAATAAAACATGTTTGTAATTTAGTATTTGAATCAAAATAATCAAAATACAAATACACAAGGTGAATACCAGATTCATAACAAAAAGCAACTCTCACCTTTGACCTCCCACCTCCCAGAGCACCAGTGCCTGTGTAAATCTTGCTGATATGATCCCCATTCTGAACCCAAATCTGCTTGTACACTTCCTCAAACCTGCCCACCATCTGAGGCTTTGCGGCCAGACCCAGAGCTTCAAGTTGTCGAACCAGCATCTAAAATGTAAATAATCAGCTAAAGCCATTTTTAAAAAAAAAATTTAAACAGCAGTTTAATTAAATATATTTTAACAGATGAAGCTAAGTTCATAAGAAATCCTTGGCCTGATGTGTACCTAATTTTAGTGATGGAAACTTGTGAAAAGAGAATGGTCAGCTGACTAAACAATAATTTCACATACAAAGAACAGTGAGGATACTTTCCTAAACATGTTTTATTAAAATTTCTAATTCGACACTTTGCAGTTAATAAACATTTAGTGCCATTTCTAGAATGTAAGTAGAATAGTAGTTAAGCTTTCTTTATGCTTGTCTTAATGGCTATCAGATGCTCAGGTTCAGTGTAATTTTATTTTTAAAATGTTATTTCTTGCCTACAAATTTTGACCACTTATATTTAATAAAGCAAACATAACATCGTCCCAAAATATCTTTCATAATTCGGGCAGCACTTAATATAACTAAGGTACCCAGACAGTTTGTCCAAATAACCATACCACCAGGCTATTCATCCTAGAAATCTTACCACCAAGCAAATTGTCCAGATAATCTTACCACCAAGCAAATTGTCCAGATAATCTTACCACCAGGCAATTTGTCCTGATAATTTTACAACCAGACAATTGGTCCTGATAATCTTACCTCCATCCCTATCATAGTCTGTGTTGCATTAATTCTGTCCAAACAATCCAGGCAATTGGTCCTAATAATCTCACCACCAAGCGATTCAACATAATAATCTTACCACCAGGCAATTGGTCCTAATAATCTTACCACCAAGCAATTTGTCCTGATAATTTTACAACCAGACAATTGGTCCTGATAATTTTACCACCAAGCAATTTGTTCTTATAATCTTACCTCCATCCCTATCATAGTCTGTGTTGCATTAGTTCTGTCCAAACAATCCAGGCAATTGGTTCTGATAGTGCCAGTCTGCTGGTGGGTGATGTTCTCCCCACTGATGCAGAAGAAGTCGAAGTGCTGGAGATGCTTCATGATTCGAGTTTTTAATTTCTCCAGGTTTTTCAGGTTAGAGCCTTTGATCTCAGAGTGGTAGTCGAAGTGGTAGAAGGGCACGTCTTGATGATGAGAGGAGGCTGTGTGGTGATTCTGTAAAAAAAATTTTTAGTCACATCAAAATTATTTAAAATTTTTTTTTTTTGAGACATCTGCCTTTTTAAATATTTCAATTAATTATAGAATTTAAAAAAAAATTATAAATATGAAAAGTAAAAGATAAAAAATGTTTGAAAAATTAGTCATTTAAATGTCTTAAATTTAAACCATCTAATGATGTTAAGTAACTTTACTGATAAATAAGAGAGTTTATCTTTGAAATGTGGCTTTTAAATAATATATTTTAAACAAGAGAAAATATTTACACCCACCTAATCATTATCTTTTAATATGTTTAACAGAGGTTTGGGTAACAGTAAATCATTCTAAATATCAATAATGGCAGTAAAAAATAATGTTTAGACCCCACCTAATCATTTTGTTTTAATGTTTAAAAGTGGTTTGTGTAACAATAAAACATTCTAGATATCAATAATGACAGTACAAAAAAAATAATTAAAGTTTAAACCCCCACCTAATGATTTCTGTTTTGATATGTTTAACAGAGATATCTAAGAAAAAAAAACATTTTAAGTATCAACAAAAATCAGTACCAAGAATGCCTGACTGAGCATTTTCTCCCCTTCTTTGGTCCCCAGTAGGTTTATGATGACCTGATCCCCGTACTGCTGCTTGATGGTTCTCAAATGGCGGTCGTAGGCTGGTGCTGCCATCTCATAGCCTCGAGACATGTGAACTTTGTGAGACCCTACCTGCAAAAAGCATTAAAGAGCACAGTGTAAAACGTTTCTTCAAGTTTTTATTTTTTATTTTTGGAAGACATCAAGTAAATCATGATTTAGTTCATTGTGGATTGATTTTTTTAAAAATTAAATACACATTGTAAAATGTTTTGATATTTTAGGAGTGGATGACATTATAAAGCAAATCATAGTTAAATTAAATGACTTTTTGTTATTGATTTGACTAGTCAGGTTTTAACAATGGTGTAGTTTAGTAATAGAGGGATTGATTACCAATCAGAAGGACTAAAGTTTTAAATAGGGCTTGAACTAATATCTGTAGGCTTCCCCTACTCTCATCAGAATAAGTATAAAAAAAAAGATGGGGGGGGGGGGGCAGAGGTCTCACAATTCCTCTCAATGAACTCAGTTTAATTTGTCTAAAGAACTATGAAGTGTTGAAAAGGGTTACTTGACCTGGCACACCCTACTAATGAATTACCTGGATACCAGCCTGCTCCCAAAACAAGGGTTATTTGACCTGGCACACCATATTAATGACTTACCTGGATACCAGCCTGCTCCCAAAACAAAGGGATGGAGCCTCTTGTTTGAACAAAGGAAACAATTTCTTCATCCAGGAATATCACCTGAAAGTAAAAGCAGACAATACAGATTCTAGTAACAAAAAAATGTAAATTAATAATTCAACTATAATGGCAATTTTAATCAGGTATATTAGGGGACAGTAAAAATGGTTAAACATCATAACTTTTACGTTTATGGGTTATATTTTAAAAATTCAAACAGATCCGTAATCAGATTGACAGTCGCTACCCAAATATGTAACCATTATATTGTTTTACTAAAACTTAATTTTTGCATTGTCTTAGCTACATTAACACGACTGAACTCAAACAGCTTTATTTAACTTCATTGTAATTTTAAAATGAAGTAAAATGGCAAGTCTTGCTATTTTCTTAAATTGTGTTCTTTAAAAACCAAAAAGGCAGATCACAATAATGGCAAATCATGAAATTTTCATAACTTATGGACATTTAAGACCAACATGACAGATCATATTAATGGCTAATCATGCTAGTTTCTTGAATTGTGTGTTTTGAAAACCAAAAACGACAGATCATAAAAATAGTAACGCATGCAATTTTCTTGTGTACTCTAACGACCAGCATGATAGATTAAATTACCTGCTCAGTCTCTACAAAATTAGCAACATTTCCATCATCATTAGTGCCCCTGACATTGAACCTGGTGCCAGCTCTCTCACAGCTTAGCCTTGATATCAGGCAGGCTTTTGCCTGTCTGTGTCCAGCGTAGATTGTACGAATCTCAACACCCCCGCACATAGTCTGAAAGGTTTCAATACAAGTTATTGGCTATCAAACCAGATTGTAGAGGAGAATTTAAACTGTATTTTAACAAAAAAGAATTTAGAGGACAATTTTAATTTGATTTAAAAAAAAAATTCAGAGGGAAATTTGAACGAAAGACATTTGTACTTGATTCAACAAAAGTGTTGAAAAGATAATATGTAGGGAATATTGCTACAAGACTTAAAGTCATGATTTTGAATGAAGATCAGCAATAACATGGAAAGTATTTTCCTCACCTTCAAAAGCCATTTGGAACAATCAATACCATAGTGTTGAAAATGAACATGTAGCATCCGATTCCTGTATATAAAACATATTTTTGTTTTTAATTTGTTTTCAATGATTAATATACAAACACATTTAGTAGATGTTGGTTGTTAAATTACAAAACCACCAATACATCATAAAGAACAACAAAAATTTACACAAATAAAATCAAACTATTACAAAAAATAAATACCCACCAAAAAAACCTATTGTCTGTTTCGTGGTCTTGGAGTTTACGTTGAGCACACAAGCTTAGGTCCCAAGGATTGCCACCAGCCTTCCAAGTAAAATAAAAGGTTCCAGAACTCAACAACTTCTTTATCTGAAAATTTAAGAAACAAATAGCCAGAAATCAACAAAAATGAAAAAGATCTTTACTAGTTTTTGTAATTTCTTTATCAATTTATAATAATACCTTATGAATAATTCAGAAATGAAACACAATGTAAATATATTTTACCTCCCCTATCCTATCCTCATCTGTGGGATCATTGCGTAATGAAATAAACTGGACACCATTTATTCTGAACACCTCAGACTCTCCAATTTTGCCAACAGATAAACAACTCACAACCATGACTAGATAATAGATTTTGTCATTTCCTGGTGAGATACAAAGAAATATGTCAGTGTATGCATAATGATATAAAAAGAAACCAAAAAACAGTTTTGAAAAGTTTAAATAAAAACGTAAATACCTGAATTCAAGCACAAAGCCCCTAGACAACCATATGCTTCGACAACCTTGGTATACTGTTTTCTTAGTGGCTCAACTTCATCTGGAGCTGGCAACAAAATAATAATCTTATTACATTTGTAGTGGGATTTTAAGAGTGTGTGAAGTATATGTTGATTATGTAAGATTTAACAGCATTATTATATATTATTATGATACTTTGCATTATAGAAATAATCAATTTTTTAATTTTAGACTTTGTAGTCAATTACTTAGTAAATTATTGGTACACCGAGTGAGTAAACACAGTAAGTGTGTGTACTGCAAACTCATACAATCATGAAATACAAGAATAAAACAACTTCCGGATTCCAGTGTTTACATATCAAAATTGAAAAAAAAAGTGTTTTTCAATTTTTAAAATGAATTGGATAAGATTAAGAGCAATTTAAATTTAGAGTTGTTTTGTGATAAGGTAAGTAAAGTAAAAATGGGATAGCATGATTGGATGGTACAACATGCGACTCAAAAGCTGAAAGTCTTGAGTTCATGTCCATGGCCTGAGTTCACCCAACTCTGATGGGTATGTGAAATACATTAGGGAGACTTAAGGCAGCTAAACACCCTATCTTCTCATATGTCTAGGTCATGGAAACAGATGAACTATTTCATCTGCCCAATGGACCACACGATTCAAAAGAGTAAAGAAATAGAGTAGGCCTCTATCAAATTTTTATTAAGCCTAGATCTAGATCATAGGCCAAAAACGTTGTTAAACAAAGAAATTAAGACTGACCAAAGCAAGCATATATTAGAATTAACTACAGACAAGAATTAGGCCTATTGATTTTGAAATCCTTTTATTTTTATTGCTTCATTGATGGATTTTGGATAGGTCTATTACTACTAAAACTACTGATAGTTTAAACTTAATAAATATAATAAAGTCTTAAGGATAGGCTAACTAGTTTAATAACTAGGCTATAGGCCTACACTTAGTACTATTGGTTAATCCCAGTGTAGGTGTAGTCATACTGTAGTCACTGTAGCTATTATTACTAACTAGCCTAGAAGTAGTACGAGATTCAAGTAGTTAGGCCTAACTATAACTAAAGTAAACTATTATTACTAAATTATTAGTAGTCATAGAATTTAGTAGAGTAGACTGTTGTAGTCAACTGTAGTGTAAGTAAACTGTGTAATTTTTTTGATGCTGAAATGAAAGTGTGTTGAACTGTTCTGTTGAGTATTGATCTCAGATCAGATCTGTCAAATACCGTCAATCAAGTTGAAGAAGTTAGAATTTTAATTTAGGTAGTTAGATCTACGTCAGTTACGACAAAAGTCACAAGTCTAGTCACTGTAGGGACATTATTTCCATGGAAAATATGTAGATCCTAGATCTAGGCCTAAATAGTTGAGTAAAGTTTTCTTTACATTTTTTTTTAACTCGTCTTAAAATAAATAAAAAATCAACCAACTCAGCAAAACAACTGCTCCCGATTCGAACATCAGTGAGTCATCCATAATTTTGCTATCCATCAAAACACTGTAAGGTGTTTCCCTGTCTGGGGGAATTTTGTGGAAAACTCTGTATCCTTTTCCCATCGCCATTATTTAGGTTTTTAAAACTCAGCAATTTATAATTTAACAACAAATAATCTTGATTTGCAAATTATAATTTTCATCGAGAGATGTAGTGTTGTTTAGATACATTTCTTCATTACTTCCCCATTGGTGATACTATTTGCCGAGACATTGGCTAAATAAATACAAAGCATTAGAAAAAGTTTAAAGTCTACGTAATACTTAGACTTAGGGCCTAAATCTTTTACATGGATCTAATAAACAATTGACATACTGTAGTAAAACAGTAGAAGCTAATTATTTTAACGTTTATTATAGTAGTAGTCAAAATTTCGTAAAATAAGGCAATCTTCCGTTTCAAATAGGCTGAATATTTTAATTTTAAAATGTTCATGTGTTTATGTTAAAACTTATAACAGAGCTACTAAAGCTGTGTTCGATCGAACCCAAGGAATTCAGCGAGCCAGTTTCAGGGATTCGACGGTGGTTAAGACACACACCCGACTCATATGATTTGCGACCGGATTTTAACCGTGTGAACGATATAACTAAATCTAGTAGCCGGAGACAGTTCATATACGACAGAGCGACAACACGACATAGTAATAAAGTACGCAAGCGCAAGAAAGCATATAACATATTATTTAATGGTAAATCAACGTTAAAAGCAATATTAAAAATAAAATACTTAAAAAATCATACATTTGTCAGAAGTGGGATTTGAACCCACGCCTACAGAAGTAGACTGCGACCTGAACGCAGCGCCTTAGACCACTCGGCCATCCTGACTTGCATGATTTGTCAATGATATTTTAACTAATCTTTGTACTGAATTCTTAGGATTTTATGAGGCTGAATATTATTCGTGTTTTTTTTTATTTGAATGGTTTTGTGTTATTTCCGATCTATTAGGCATATTTGCCCAACATCCATTACTACCTACTAGTAGATAAAAAGAAATACTAATGTTCAAAAAGGTAGACTAGTTTACACACATTTAATGATAAATCATTGTTAAAAACATTGACAAATTAAAAAAGATTAAATGTTTGTCAGAAGTGAGATTTGAACCCACGCCTACAGAAGTAGACTGCGACCTGAACGCAGCGCCTTAGACCACTCGGCCATCCTGACTTTCATGATTTGCCAATGATATTTTAAGTTATCTTTGTACTGAATTCTTATGATTTTATGAGGCTGAATATTATTCGTGTTTTTTTTATTTGAATGGTTTTGTGTTATTTCCGATCTATTAGGCATATTTGCCCAACATCCATTACTACCTACTAGTAGATAAAAAGAAATACTAATGTTAAAAAAGGTAGACTAGTTTACACACATTTAATGATAAATCATTGTTAAAAACATTGACAAATTAAAAAAGATTAAATGTTTGTCAGAAGTGGGATTTGAACCCACGCCTACAGAAGTAGACTGCGACCTGAACGCAGCGCCTTAGACCACTCGGCCATCCTGACTTGCATGATTTGTCAATGATATTTTAACTAATCTTTGTACTGAATTCTTAGGATTTTATGAAGCTGAATATTATTCGTGTTTTTTTTATTTGAATGGTTTTGTGTTATTTCCGATCTATTAGGCATATTTGCCCAACATCCATTACTACCTACTAGTAGATAAAAAGAAATACTAATGTTCAAAAAGGTAGACTAGTTTACACACATTTAATGATAAATCATTGTTAAAAACATTGACAAATTAAAAAAGATTAAATGTTTGTCAGAAGTGGGATTTGAACCCACGCCTACAGAAGTAGACTGCGACCTGAACGCAGCGCCTTAGACCACTCGGCCATCCTGACTAGCATGATTTGTCAATGATATTTTAACTAATATTTGTACTGAATTCTTAGGATTTTATGAGGCTGAATATTATTCGTGTTTTTTTATTTGAATGGTTTTGTGTTATTTCCGATCTATTAGGCATATTTGCCCAACATCCATTACTACCTACTAGTAGATAAAAAGAAATACTAATGTTCAAAAAGGTAGACTAGTTTACACACATTTAATGATAAATCATTGTTAAAAACATTGACAAATTAAAAAAGATTAAATGTTTGTCAGAAGTGGGATTTGAACCCACGCCTACAGAAGTAGACTGCGACCTGAACGCAGCGCCTTAGACCACTCGGCCATCCTGACTTTCATGATTTGTCAATGATATTTTAACTAATCTTTGTACTGAATTCTTATGATTTAATGAGGCTGAATATTATTCGTGTTTTTTTATTTGAATGGTTTTGTGTTATTTCCGATCTATTAGGCATATTTGCCCAACATCCATTACTACCTACTAGTAGATAAAAAGAAATACTAATGTTCAAAAAGGTAGACTAGTTTACACACATTTAATGATAAATCATTGTTAAAAACATTGACCACTCGGCCATCCTGACTTGCATGATTTGTCAATGATATTTTAACTAATCTTTGTACTGAATTCTTATGATTTTATGAGGCTGAATATTATTCGTGTTTTTTTATTTGAATGGTTTTGTGTTATTTCCGATCTATTAGGCATATTTGCCCAACATCCATTACTACCTACTAGTAGATAAAAAGAAATACTAATGTTCAAAAAGGTAGACTAGTTTACACACATTTAATGATAAATCATTGTTAAAAACATTGACAAATTAAAAAAAGATTAAATGTTTGTCAGAAGTGGGATTTGAACCCACGCCTACAGAAGTAGACTGCGACCTGAACGCAGCGCCTTAGACCACTCGGCCATCCTGACTTGCATGATTTGTCAATGATATTTTAACTAATCTTTGAACTGAATTCTTATGATTTTATGAGGCTGAATATTATTCGTGTTTTTTTTATTTGAATGGTTTTGTGTTATTTCCGATCTATTAGGCATATTTGCCCAACATCCATTACTACCTACTAGTAGATAAAAAGAAATACTAATGTTAAAAACGGTAGACTAGTTTACACACATTTAATGATAAATCATTGTTAAAAACATTGACAAATTAAAAAAGATTAAATGTTTGTCAGAAGTGGGAATTGAACCCACGCCTACAGAAGTAGACTGCGACCTGAACGCAGCGCCTTAGACCACTCGGCCATCCTGACTTGCATGATTTGTCAATGATATTTTAACTAATCTTTGTACTGAATTCTTAGGATTTTATGAGGCTGAATATTATTCGTGTTTTTTTATTTGAATGGTTTTGTGTTATTTCCGATCTATTAGGCATATTTGCCCAACATCCATTACTACCTACTAGTAGATAAAAAGAAATACTAATGTTCAAAAAGGTAGACTAGTTTACACACATTTAATGATAAATCATTGTTAAAAACATTGACAAATTAAAAAAGATTAAATGTTTGTCAGAAGTGGGATTTGAACCCACGCCTACAGAAGTAGACTGCGACCTGAACGCAGCGCCTTAGACCACTCGGCCATCCTGACTTTCATGATTTGTCAATGATATTTTAACTAATCTTTGTACTGAATTCTTATGATTTAATGAGGCTGAATATTATTCGTGTTTTTTTATTTGAATGGTTTTGTGTTATTTCCGATCTATTAGGCATATTTGCCCAACATCCATTACTACCTACTAGTAGATAAAAAGAAATACTAATGTTCAAAAAGGTAGACTAGTTTACACACATTTAATGATAAATCATTGTTAAAAACATTGACAAATTAAAAAAGATTAAATGTTTGTCAGAAGTGGGATTTGAACCCACGCCTACAGAAGTAGACTGCGACCTGAACGCAGCGCCTTAGACCACTCGGCCATCCTGACTTGCATGATTTGTCAATGATATTTTAACTAATCTTTGTACTGAATTCTTATGATTTTATGAGGCTGAATATTATTCGTGTTTTTTTATTTGAATGGTTTTGTGTTATTTCCGATCTATTAGGCATATTTGCCCAACATCCATTACTACCTACTAGTAGATAAAAAGAAATACTAATGTTCAAAAAGGTAGACTAGTTTACACACATTTAATGATAAATCATTGTTAAAAACATTGACAAATTAAAAAAGATTAAATGTTTGTCAGAAGTGGGATTTGAACCCACGCCTACAGAAGTAGACTGCGACCTGAACGCAGCGCCTTAGACCACTCGGCCATCCTGACTTGCATGATTTGTCAATGATATTTTAACTAATCTTTGTACAGAATTCTTATGATTTTATGAGGCTGAATATTATTCGTGTTTTTTTATTTGAATGGTTTTGTGTTATTTCCGATCTATTAGGCATATTTGCCCAACATCCATTACTACCTACTAGTAGATAAAAAGAAATACTAATGTTCAAAAAGGTAGACTAGTTTACACACATTTAATGATAAATCATTGTTAAAAACATTGACAAATTAAAAAAAGATTAAATGTTTGTCAGAAGTGGGATTTGAACTCACGCTTACAGAAGTAGACTGCGACCTGAACGCGACGCCTTAGACCACTCGGCCATCCTGACTTGCATGATTTGTCAATGATATTTTAACTAATCTTTGTACTGAATTCTTATGATTTTATGATTCTGAATATTATTCGTGTTTTTTTATTTGAATGGTTTTGTGTTATTTCCGATCTATTAGGCATATTTGCCCAACATCCATTACTACCTACTAGTAGATAAAAAGAAATACTAATGTTCAAAAAGGTAGACTAGTTTACACACATTTAATGATAAATCATTGTTAAAAACATTGACAAATTAAAAAAGATTAAATGTTTGTCAGAAGTGGGATTTGAACCCACGCCTACAGAAGTAGACTGCGACCTGAACGCAGCGCCTTAGACCACTCGGCCATCCTGACTTTCATGATTTGTCAATGATATTTTAACTAATCTTTGTACTGAATTCTTATGATTTAATGAGGCTGAATATTATTCGTGTTTTTTTATTTGAATGGTTTTGTGTTATTTCCGATCTATTAGGCATATTTGCCCAACATCCATTACTACCTACTAGTAGATAAAAAGAAATACTAATGTTCAAAAAGGTAGACTAGTTTACACACATTTAATGATAAATCATTGTTAAAAACATTGACAAATTAAAAAAAGATTAAATGTTTGTCAGAAGTGGGATTTGAACCCACGCCTACAGAAGTAGACTGCGACCTGAACGCAGCGCCTTAGA